GAAAAAAAAGCAGATAGGGTCCTGTGTTGAGTTGGACATCACTTCAAGTGGCCAGAGCGTGTAACTGATCCAAGAATGGTGGGAAGCCCCTCTGGGTTGCCTTCACAGTTAATAAGGCTCTCTTCACCTCTGCATCTTGGCCAGAGGGGAACCTGCTTAGCTGCTCATGCTCCATAGTGATGGATTACTTCTAGGTCCTAGGGATCTCATTACCTTCATATTCATCTTCCTCTGCTGGTACCAGATAATGGGTGAAGTGTAATTGTATGCCAAAGGACTCCTGAGAAGGAGAACTTGAGAACCCTTGCCTGCTGCACTCAATGCAAGAGTGACTGTGAGAATCCAGAATGATCTTTTGTGGTGAGACTAAATGTATCACGCGCGGTATGACTTCTGATTTATTTTTAAAACATTCCCGGTCCCATTGGCTCCCTTTTAATAGTTTCCTAGAGCCCGTTTATTGTTACAGATGTTACTTTTAAATGAGGTCATCAAGCTTTCTTTTACTTCCAAAGGCACTGTTTGCCTTTTTATTGCAGAGGTTGGCAGGGTTTGCCTGGAGAACATTGCAAATATCAGATCAAGGTTAAGGCTTCAGACCCCAGGAGGCGAGGAAGGAAGAGGCCTTTCTGTATCTGCACAGATTCACATCAGCAAGGCTCCACCAGAGAGCATGCTCACTGCATCCTGGGGATGACCTTAACAAGGGCAAAGTGCCTGGCAAGAGACAGAAACAGACTTGGTGATCTCAGACTGGCTTGAGTCATGTGCCCTTCTTGTTCAAAGTAAAACCTCAGGCATGCCACAAAAACTCATGGAGCCCATTTCCTTGTGTGTCTTAGAGATAATTGTCATTGCTTGAACTTGGGATGCCTGTGTTATGTATGTGGAGGTGATAGAGAAAAGAAAAACCACTAATTGCTAAAGATATACATGTTCAGAAATACATCAAATCCTGCGTGTAGTATATTTTGCATAGCTTTGGGGGAGAACTGCCAACAAAATATGGCTTACTGCTGATTTTTGTAAATATACTTTAATTGGCCCACAGCCAGACTTGATCAATTACATGCCTGTGGCTGCCTTCTTGCTATATTAGCAGTAGTAAGTAATTTTATCACACCATATGCTCTCTCAACAGCCAGGATTTCTACTATGTGTCTTTCAGCAGAAGTTTGATGCCGATATTCCAAACTGGGAAACTGTGGGGGGACTGGAAGCTGGCCCTTCAAACCAGAGATATGGGGGCATATGGGCATCCTAATACTTACTGCTCTGTGTGCCTGTGGGACCCTGCTGTTCTGGTTTAATTCCTATACCTGACACCTTATGCATGTTAAGGTTGACTTGCTTTGCTTGGAATTAAATGACAAAAATGCATCAGCAAAGAGCTCGTGTCGGGACTCCCTGCTCTGTTGCTAGAGTGGAACCCTAGTTTTCTTCACGTAACAATTGTCACAGGTATCTCTGGGGATCTATTCCTGGAAGTGGGGCTAGGTGACCAGCGGCACCGTGCAGCTTTTCAAAGGCACAATCACATGTTGTCCCAGCATGGTCTTTGAAAGTGGATCTCAGCATAAAATGAGAAGTTTATTGACCGGTGTCGTGGTCTCTCCTTTGTGTTTTGAGTGTTTCCTATGACAGGTGGAAACAGCTCTGATGCCAGACTGTGTCTCTGCATGCCAGTAATAAAGACAAAACTGACACTCTAACATTGACCGTGGATTTTAATTGCTGTCTTGTTAACTTTTGGGTTGCCACCCAACCGTTGGTCATTGCTCAGTCCTCAGAGAACATTCTGCCAGTGGCAGGAGGATATATGCAAAGTAGATAAGCTTTAAATACGGTAAACCTCACTCAGAAAGAGACAAGAGACTACTAGAGTTACTCTGGGTTCATGGCAACCATGTATTCATAGATGCTAACCTATGCACAGATGGTATGTGCTTCTGTACAACATCCTATGCATAGATACGTGCTTATGTACACTACCCCATGCACAGATGATATGTGCTTATATATATTCTACGCTATGCACAGATGGGATATGCTTATATATATTCTACCCTATGCACAGAGGATATGTGCTTATATGTACTCTACCCTATGCACAGAGGATATGTGTTTATATCCTCCACCCTATGCACAGATGATATGTGCTTATTATACACTGTATTTTATGATGAATTGGAGAGCTGACCTCAGCCTCTAGGCTTCTCATCTTGCTAAATCAACATTTGCAAGGTGATACTACTACTGTCTACTCATGTCCCCATCCTTCCACATAGGCTGCATCTTGGGATAGATACCATTTTAAGCAAGCCCAAATGCAGAAATCCATTGTGGTGTGTGCATGATACCTCTCATTGTACATGGTAGGTAAGAGGTACTTGTTGCCAACCCCTTCTCATTGCCTGGTAGACATTTCCTATCTTTGGATAGCACCCTTAAACCCCATCTAAGCTGCTCATCAGATATTGTGCTGATGAATTAGTAAAAGGCTCAGCGTATATTCAGATTTCCCTCAACTAGTTTGTCCTAGGCATGGATCAGTTCTTTTGAGCCTTCTGTCCTGCCAAGCAATTTTGTTCTCATGACAGGCCAAGAATAAATGGAGAGTTGATCAAAGTCTAGTGAGCATCAGGGTTATAGATGGAACAGCGGCCTCGTCCTTTTGTATTTGATACAGAATCATTGGCTGAAAAAATGTGAGAGTCAAAAGAGCTGTGTTTGTGATACCTTTCCACCTGCCAGATGCGGATTTGCATATATTCAAGAAATGCTCACTGGATACTGTGTATCCATGGCTCTGGGCTCTGGAGGGACAAGGTCACATTATTGCTGTATGCACTTAAACTTGAACCCAGAGTGGAAAACACGTGAGCTGTGCTTACACAGAGGTACAAGTGCAGTAAAGAAACACAAAATTTGCTGGGCTTACAAAGGCACTGTGTGTGGTGGTTTGAATAGGCTTGACCCAGGGAATGGCACTGTTAGGAGATGTGACCTTGTTGAAGTAGGTGTGACTTTGTTGGAGGAAGTGTGTTACTGTGGGAGTGGGCTTCGAGACCCTCCTCCTAGCTGCCTGGAAGACAGTAGTCTTCTGTTTGTCTTCAGAACAAGATGTAGAACTCTCAGCTTCTCCAGTGCCTTGCCTGCCTAGATGCTTTCATGTTCCCACCTTGCTGATAATGGACTAAACCTCTGAACCTGTAAGCCAGCCCCAATTGTTGTCCTTATAAGAGTTGCCTTGGTCATGGTATCTCTTCACAGCAGTTTAACTAAGACACTCTGTGGACTATCTTTAAGCTCTCATTTCCTCATTTGCAAGATTAGGTCACATGTTGTATTTGATCATTCACATGTTAAATGCAATACCCTGAGAGCTACTGTAGAGGTAAAGTCTACCATTTTTGTCAAGAGTCACATCTCAACTAGAGAAACCAATCCTTCTCTGAGCCATGTGTGTGCTCAGAGCTGTGTGTACGCTCTCCGGATCACACCTCAAGAATTCCTGCCCACTCTGTCTTTTCCCACACTCCTCCCTCCACACACACCGCCTTGTGCTCTGCTTCTGTCCCTCACTTGCTGGCACGTCGGTCACTACAGTGAAGATGGGTTCTGCTCATCTTGACGGATGCTGCAGTGCATGGAGCAGTGATCTGCGCAGAGGCAGATGGGTAGTAAAGGGTTGAGTTGTAATGGAAGAGAGTAAAGGCACAGTGGCTCAAAGAAGGGATGACATTCTGATTGTGAGGAGAGCAAAACAACTTTTGGAAGCTATTTGCTGATGAATATTTGATTAACCCTAGTATTCAGGAGCTGAGGCAGGAAGGTTGTGAGTTCAAGGACAACCTGAACTGCATGGTGAATTTGAGGACACCCTGGATTGCATAGCAAGGATTTTCTAATTATCATCATCATCACCATCATCACCACCACCACCACCACCATCATCATCATCATCATTATTCAAGGGCTGGGGAGATAGATCAGTAAAAATTCACTTGCTGTAAAAGCATGAGGACGGAACTCAGTATCCCCAGAGCTCACATAATCCCAGGCACAGTCACACACTTCTCTAATCTCGGTGAGAAGAGAGGTGAAGACTGAGGAATCCCTGGAAGCTCTTGTGCCAGCTAGCCTGGTATGCACAGTGGCAAACAACAACAAATGACCTTGTTTCAAAATGAGGTAGACGGCAAGGACCAACACCCAAGAACATTTTGACTTCCACACTGGAGTCCCCTGGCATGAGTGTACAACACATCACACACACACACACTGATTGATTTTTAAAAGAACAAAATTTAAAAATACAAGAAGTTGAAAGTCAAGGCACACACAGGTGAGCATCACTAGGGTTGAAGAAACGCTAAGTATGATTCAAAGTAGGGAACAGCCACCCAGGCAGTTAGACAGTACAGCATGATATGAGCATCGGTGTCAGCTCTGGGGACATGGGAGTGCTTCTACCATTCTCTGAGTACCAGAGTTCCTAAATGATGTGCTTCTGGCCCTTCAAATACCATCTGTGCAACAATTTCCATTACTCTGGAGTGAGACTAGTGAAGGCAAGGTCAAAGTCACAGATCTAGTCCCTAGAGACAAGGTCTATTAGCAGTTTCCATGGTAAGAGAATGGCCCTCACACCATCAACACTATCAAGTAGATACTACCCCAGCAGGGACCGGCTGCATGAGAAAACAGATTAGTGCAAATGAATCATTTGTACTGGAAAAAATAGTCGAGGACATAGAATGTCACCCTACTATGTGAAGAGTAATAGCTTCCATTGAGCGAAATGTTATGCTTCCTATTCACAAGATGTTTTTTTTAAGGGGCAGAAAGAAAATGTTTTGTAGGAAATTTACAGCCTTCTATCTGGTGGGATTTTTTTTTCATCCTACAAGCAGTTTATGCAAAACAGATGCCTGAAGAGCCATGCATGCACACCCCTGTGGGCTCTGTGGTTATATTTCATTTTCTTCCTCTTTCAGTTCTCGCAGACAACCTGAAATCTAACCCTGGAATCAAGTGGCAATATTTCAGCTCAGAAGAAGGAATTTTCACTGTCTTCCCAGCACACAAGTTCCGGTGTAAGGGCAGCTATGAGCACCGCAGTCGGTATGTTGACTTCTTGTGCAGGTCATTTGTTGCTGACCGTGATCTGTAGGGAGGGGTGGGCTGTGACTCTGGGTAGAAGACTTGCTCAATCTGGCCAAGACCCCAGATTCCAACCTCAGCAGTGAGGTCCACACATAGCAGCTTTTCAGTAAATCAGAGCTTAGGTTCTGAAACTTTGTCTTGCTCAGAAATAACATTTCTACATTTGATCTATGTCTACATTTGATCATGTGGATGTGCCTGTGCTGAGGCAGGGTGATGGTAAAGCCCCGAGTTTTCCAACAGCTATCTATCACGCCAAGCAAAGCTATGGGCAGGAAATGCAATTGCTCAGTGCACTTAATGTTCTGTGCTGTGAACATCTTTGTTGCAATAGACAGGACAGCACCTTCTCCACAGTGTGGCCCTAGAGCATAACAATGCAATACATTGCAGTAGAGTTGGTGGCTAACTTTCCTTTCTCAGATAATGAGCTTTACGCTTTTGAAGTATACTGCCCGCTTCAGCTACTGCAAGCTCTAAGGTTGTTCACAAGCTTTGGGTTAAAGATCACTCTCATCCTGCTTCCTCAGGGAGAAAATCCTTGGTTGGACTGTGCCTTCAGAGGGAAAGGAGTGATGAGATCATTTGTAAAACAAGGCTCCTCAGTTCACAGAAGCCCCTAGGCAGAGTTGTACTCCTTTGAGCCCCATCAGGTCTCCTTTGGCAGCGTGTTGAATGCCTGGAGGTAGTGGGAGACGCCTGTTCTTCCCAAATAGTCCTGGGGTATCCCTTCATCTTTTCTTCAAATTGTATCCAGGGTCTCTCCCTAAGGGTGGGGAATCTTTGTGTGCTTTTCAAAGGAGGGAAGGAGGAAGGGAGGGAGGGAAGAAGAGAAAATTTGTTATTATTTGTATGGTTTTTATCATTCTCACCCTAGATATTCTCATACAGGTGCCTGCCATGGAGACTTGACCAGAAATCATGACTTTGGTGTCTAGTTCAGTGATTCTCAACCTTCCTAATGCTGGGAGCCTTTAATGCAGTTCCTCACATTCTGGTGACCCCCCCCCCATCTATAAAATTATTTTCGTTCCCAAATCTCTGAATTTAATCACGTCTAATTTTACCAATGTTATAAATTCGTTGCTGTTTCTTAACTGTAATTTTGCTATTGCAATGAATGGTAATGTAAATGTTTGTGTTTTCCTATGGTTCTTACGTGACCCATGTGAAAGGGTCATCCAACACCCAAATGGGTGGTAACCCAGAGGCTGAGAACCACTGGTTTGGTTGGAGAGCAGAAGCTCCAGGGAAACAGATTAGATGGCAGGCTGCCTTGGTGTGTGGGAGGGAAGGCAGGGTCTTATCAGTAGCCAACTCTCACCTGCAAGTCCCAGCTGGAGTCTGCCTGTAATGAAGCTGCATCTTTGGCTGTTTCCCTCCTCATAGGTTGCCAGTCCCGCCTCTTAACTTGTCTCAACTGGTTGCCTTTGCAAACTCTATCCAACCCTTGGAAGACTCCATTGGGTTTCAGAGCACTGCACCAAGAAAGAGGAGCCAGTGAGAGGAGTCAAGCTCTGGGGTCTGCCTCCCAGTTTGTCTATGTAACATACAGTGCTATTTATTCGCCCCCACTAAAGAGATTTTAGCTAAAGTGGCTTGGCTTTTCATTGGGTAGAATCAGTCAAGACAAAGGCAATATATCATTTTAAGGAAAATCCTCTCCCCTAGTTAGAAGAACACATGCAAAACGAGGAACATTCGCCCTCATGTCAGTGCAGGGCCGGGCAGTGGTTCCTGCTGTTCTGTTTCTGGTTCATCCTGAGGCCACCACTTCTGGATTCTTTTTATCTCATTTCTCCACTGGCTCAGTGGTACTGGCTGGTAGCCTTAATACAAGACTTTTGAATTGCCAACAGCTATTGTGAGTTTGGCCAGATTTTAAGGGGTGTTTTTGGTACCTTGCCTACATTTCTTAATTTTTGCCCAGGCTTTTGTGATTCACTGGAAGCTCACATTTCACAGAAAATTCTTGTTTTGGAGGTGTCAATAAAGGAGGGGATTCTCTTGAGGCTGATTTGCTTTTTAAACCACCCCTGCTTTGATCAGATGCATTTCTCCTCTGTGGCTTCTGCAGCTCCCCTCTTTCTTCACACAGGCAAACAACCTGGCGGGAAGAGTGGCTGTTGCAGGTTTAGACAAATTTTGATGACGTAGTTTGAGATGCTCAGCTTGAGGCCTTTTGGTGGCTGGCCTGTATGAGTTTCTGAGGCATAGATAGAAAAAGGGATGTCTTACCAGAGGGTGTATGAATGGGAAGAGAGAGGACAGGATGCCATCCAGAACTGCCCAGCACAAGTCCAGGTCGTAGGCTTTCTTATTGTTAGCAAAACCCCATCTGTTCTGTTTGTAAAGTAGAAGCCAACACTGGCAAACTGGGCCTTGTTCTCACTTTGGACCAAGTCTGTATGGCCTGAGGGGCTAGCAGTTCACTCCCCAAACCCAGTGACTAGATGGGAAGCCTGGCCATGCAGAAGTGGAGCATGAGGAAGAAGCCAGCCTCTCAGAAGATGTGCTTTCATCTTTAAAGTCAGAATTTCACACTCCTGTCCTTTCCAATGCACCCCCATCCAGCCTGAGCTCGCTCCAACCTGTACTCCAACATCCCCCAGAAGAGAACACACACACACACACACACAGGTGCACCTATGCATCTGTAGTGTTCACAACTGTGTTGAGATCTTTTTCCTTTCTCTAGGCCCATCTATGTCTCTACCGTCCGGCCACAGTCCAAGCACATAGTTGTGATCCTGGACCACGGGGCCTCAGTCACGGACACCCAGCTGCAGATTGCCAAGGACGCCGCTCAGGTCATCCTCAGTGCCATTGATGAACATGACAAGGTGACTATTATCCCGGTGACTCTTGGGGCATGAAAGCTGTCTTGAATATCTTCAGCACTTACTTTTGTTTCATTTTGTCCAATCAGGTGCCTCATAGCGACATCTCAGTTAACAATGGATGAGATAGTGCCAGTGGTCCCATACAACTGTCATGTAGCCTGAGGGTTTCAAATTTCCATCACCAAAGACTTTCTCTTACTAATCTAATTGCTGAAAGCACAGAGACCATACCATACCTTTACTCTAGTCTTTAGTTTAAAAACCGAGATGGGCAGCTTTTGCCCAGGTTTTTTTTTTTTTTTTTTTTTTCTGCATGAATTTAGAGATGAGCTTTTGTTAACTTTTTTGTATGTTATATGCAAACGCTGTATTGCTACTGCATATTGGATCGAAGCCCAAAGTCCCAGGTTCTCTTCTGTACAATTTCTTTTCAAATTTGACGGGTTGATGACTGCAGACATTTATTTTTAAGCTCAGAACCTGTTCTACAGGCCTTCTCCTTGAGCTCTCCTGTTACCTGAACATTCAAGCCTGGGCACTGTGACTGAGGCAGGAGGACTAACTATTTGAGCCTAGAAGTTTGGGGTCAACTTGCGTAACATGAGGAAAATTCACCCTCAAAAACAAAGCAAAACAAAAACAAACAGAAAAACATTTGTTTGAGGATTTTTGTTTAAACAAACAAACAAACAAAAAACAAACAGTAAAGAAAAAGGGTATTTTTGTGTCCTCCAGATTTCTGTGTTGACTGTGGCAGATGCCGTCAGGACCTGTTCGTTGGACCAGTGCTATAAGACGTACCTGTCTCCGGCCACCAGTGAGACAAAAAGGAAAATGTCCACATTTGTTAGCAGCGTCAAGCCCTCTGACAGCCCCACCCAGCACGCAGTAGGGTTTCACAGGGCGTTCCAGTTGATTCGAAGCACCAGCAACAACACTCGGTTCCAAGCAAGTAGGTGCACTCATGAGAGACGGCCCTCTAGGTCCGGAACTAGAGGGGAAAGTTTACAGTTAATTTCTGCTAAAATCATTCTCTGCCATCTTCGCAGCTACCTAACGAGGTGTTCTCATCTTTTCCGTTCTACCATGGTCAGTCTGCGGGACTTCCAGGCTCCCAGAGCCTCCTCTTCTTGCCCCTTTATTAAGAACACATCCTCCCTCATTTCTCAAGGGAATAGCCACATCCTCTGTAGTGTTAATTGGTGGCTTTGCCTCCCATGGGCTTGGGACAGTTCTGTGCTAGTGCTCTTGTGCATCCAAGGAGGTCACTGGGATTCTTGGCCTTGATCCCCTCCCTCTCCTAACCAGCTGTCATTTAAACAAGCACACCCTTCGAATGTACAAAGGCACTCTGATTTAATTTTCCTATATTAGAGAGAAATCTGGAATGAGGATGTACGCTAAAGGAAGGAGCGGTTGAAATAGGACTCTGCTTTGAAACTTCTCAAAGGATTTTAATTTCCCTTTATCCTCAAAAATCTGTAGCCATTTTTCTTTATTTAAAAAAGAAAAATTGATTCATCCTGTTTGGATGTTTGAGTTTTGCTTTCTTTTTTTTCTTTCCTGGAAATAGGGTCTCACTATGTAGCACAGCCTGCCCTCCAGCTCTCAATCCTTGGCACCAGCAAGGATGCCTCTGCCTCTGTAGTACTGGTATTTCCTAGTTTAATATAGCCTATCAAAATAAATTTAAAGAATATATTTTCAAGCCATTCTGTGTACCTGTATCTAAAGACTTAAAGGTAGACAGTGGTGATAGTTGTCAAACATTGTGCCTGGTGCTCTGGCCAACCAGTTGGCTGCAACAAGTATAACTTGCCATCATAGATTGCCACATTGGTTTATCTTTGCCATATTCCATCCCTAGAAGCATGTTATAGCTTAGGCCCAAGCAGACAGGGAAATGAACGACTATGGAGATGTTGGCTGCATCATCTTGGACTCTTGCCTGCCAGATCGAGTGAGCATCATCCACATACTAGCCAATGTTATGGACTTAATGATCAGCTGCCCACAGTTCAGTGAGGCCAGTGGTCCGTGCTTACCTTCTGAGTGTTCCAGCGAGATTTTTAGTTTACCAGTTAGTTTTTGTCAGCTTGGCCTAAACTAGACTTATTGAGGAAGAGGCATCCTTGGGGAGTTACCACCATCAAATTGACCTATTTATGTCAATGGGCATTCTCTTAGTTAATAATTGATGTAGGAGAGTCCAGCCATCTGTGGGTCCCCACCCTTGGGCAAATGGTCCTGGAGTATGTTTTTAAAACAGATGGAACAAGTCAGCCAGTAAGCCATATTCCTCCTTGGGTTTAGTTCCTGCCTCCAAGTTCCTTTCCTGAGTCCTTGCTGTAAGGGACCCTTTCCTCCCCAGGTTGATCACATTTCCCACAGCAGCAGAAAGCCAACTAGGACAGCTAGATTGTCATAGTCCCTCACCAGCAGTGTTCTCTCTCCCTCACTCTAGTTATCAACCTGTCATTAAAAGTTCCTGTCCAGTTTTGATTGCTATCTTTTTCACATACAAGAGAGAGATGTTAACTGTTGTAAACCCAGATGCCCGTGGTGCCCAGGCAACTAGAGCGAAGGGTACCAAGCATCCCTTGCAGGTGTGGGTATGGTGGAAGAACTTGCTTCACCAGGACAGGCAGTGAGAGCATGGCTGAATCCTCTGATTCAAGAGAAGGCAGAGATATAGATTTCTTCTGTGATGTCTGGATTTTCAAATGTTACGTCCTTCCTACATTAAAACTTTATGAAGCCTCATTTCACGGACCTTCCTGTCATGCTCATTGGCAGAAAGCCTGCTCTTATAAGAGGCATTTCTCCTTGCTTTTGTTTGTTTGTTTTGTGTTTGGTTTCTTATGTTGGCAAACAAAACCATGACAGGAAGACTGGCCATCAAAAACCTGGGCAGGTTCTAAAACCATGGGTTCCAAAATGCTCGGAACTCTTTTCTTTTAGGTCAAATAAGATATTTCAAAAGGTTTTAACTTGCAGTCCCCCACTTCATGGTCTCTATTGGCAGTTGAGAAGAGCCCGACTTGGTTTGTATAGGGCAAGGCTCCAGGAATGTCCACTGTCCATATCATAGTGACAGGTTTTGTGGTATCCCAAATAGTATGGCCTGGTGGTTATGTATTTGGACCTTTGATTTCAACTCCAGACCTTTTCTGACCTTGTAATCATGGAAAGATTGATTGGAATGTCTATAAGTGGCCTTATTTGGAATGGAGTATGACAAAAAAAAAAAGACCCAGGATTGATTTATAACTGTTCCAGTGACATTAGCTGTCATTATCCTGACCCATCCCTGATGACACTACTAGCCCCTGCTCATTGGCAGCAGTGAGATCCCTATAGGATTACTATAAGAATTGCCTGTTGACGGAGGGGAGCATCTGCTCACATCAGGTCCCAATAAACAGGAGCCAGACTTTACCAGTTTATGTAGCTTTCCACTAATTTAACTTGTACCAATTAGAAGCTAAAACTTTTATCCAAAGTGGAGTTCTTCCCCATCCCCATCCCCCACCCCTGGCCTTGGTAGACTACTATTAATATTAATAACGTACACCATGTTTCCTTTCCATTTGTTTGTGTATGGTTGTTTGGAAGATCTTATTATAAGGTCAGGGCTCAAATTTGAGTTGCTATTCCTCTAATAATGATTCCAAGACATGTTGATGGTGTCCTTAAAGAGACAGTCCCTGAGTGGAGTCTTCACAGAATTTTTTTCTGTCAATTTAGATGCTATGACCTGCTTTGCCCCAAATCTCTACATTTAAACACCTCTAATTTTACCAATATTATAAATTCCCACAAGTGGGTGACTCAGGTCCCACTGAACAAAAAGCTAAGTCAGATCAAACTTAACAAAACTGCTAAGTGACTCCTCCACACTGGGATTCAGGTCAGTGCCCTCCCCTCAGTGAGCTCTGTGAAAAAGGAGGCAGAAATATTATAAGAGCCAGAGCAGATGAATCCCACCAAGGACACAGTGTCTTCCAGACACAACAGGGCTGACATATGACCTCACAGAGACTATGGCAGCATGCATAGGGCCAGCACAGGCTTAAGCCAGAGTTGTAGCAATGAAAAGGGGGAAACAGACAACAGCTCCCTAACCAAGAAGCTGTCGCCAATTGACATCTACTTACAAAGGAAAAATTAGTTTTCTCTACTGGATATATTAAATACACCTAGGGACTTAGGCCTGCTAGCTTTCCAGTCACGGCCTTCTGCTCTAAAACTAGTTCCCTGTGACAGTCACACAGGCAATGGGCAAAGTGAAAATCAAAAGGGTTCTTTTTGGAGGCCAGTCTAGATACATCCCAGAACCTCTCACCGACAGGACCTTGGCCAGGAAGAGTTGGTTTGTGTTGCACTGTGTGACCCTGTGATAACACCTGTATCCCCTCCTGCAGGAAGGTGGAACTATTTTGTTCTGTGCATTGTTTGACACTTATTTCCAGCATGGTGCTTAAGTAAGATATTTCAGACTCTACTAAAGTAATACACAGAAATATAGTGACAAACCGAAAAGATGTGAATATCTAGTACTAATGTGGACATTTTGCTAAAGCTTCCTGACCTCCAATGACGAGATAACACATTTACACGTGCAGTTAACATCTTGGTTAGCTCTGCTAGTATTAAACAGTGGGTGTGTTCATTATTGCTCATAGTTTATTAAATTTCAGTTGGTTGTCTACAGCCTTGACACTATATCAGTTATTAATCTCTGCACAGTAATGAACAATCTAAAACCTAAAATGGAAGTTTACAAACTGTAAGAGTTGCAGTATCACCCCAAGGATACTTTTAATGGTAACTGTATTTGTTAAGTATCACTTTGTAACAAGCAACCCTAACAGTGGCCCTGGCATTCCACCACCTTGGATGCATATAGCAACTAGGAGGCTGCCTGTCATGGTTACTCTAAAGTAGCCCCAGTGAAATGACAGCAACAGGACCTATAGAAATAAGTGTATATACAAATATTTCTCTACGCAGTGATAAGATTCCCTACAGGGTGTCCAAAACTATTGACTCAAAGACTTTTGTATAGGAAAAAAAAATGGGGGAAAACCAGCTCTTCTCCATCCCTCCCATTTTTATCTGTGGTGGTGGTAGGCTTTTCAACATCCCGTCTCGATTCCCTCACCCTTACCCCTACCAGCAATGTGTGTGCACATGTGCACACCCCCCTGTGTCTATGCCTCTGTATGAATACATGCTCAAGCTTGATGTCAGGATATCTTCCTCAGTCACTCCTCCTCTTTATTTTTTGTGATAGAGTCTCCTAAGCTTAGAGCTTGTCCTCTTAACCAGGCTGGCTAACCAGTAAAGCTCCCAAGATCCACCTGCATTTGCCAGCACTGGGACTTAGTTATACTGGAGCACTTGGCGCTTTTAAGTGTTACCCTTGAAATCCATTTTACCTGATGAGCCATCTCACTGTGACTCTTGGGCCTGTCCACTTTGGGGAAGGTCTTCTCTCTGAGTTACGATGGCTTCTCACTTACCCATTGGCCTGATTTGGAACGTGGTTTGAATTACGATCACAAGTTGTCTTCAGGCCAATGGAAGGAATGCACACATAGATGTGTATTGAGGCTTTTCTTGTTTACCTTCCTCATTGTGCCATCAGACTTTGTTTACCTACCTGTTTTCAGGTGGTCAGCCATTCCTCCTAGCAGCCTGGTGAAGTTGGTACTGGTGTCTAGCCTATTTTCTAAACCTTTCTTCATATGTATATATGAAGAGGTTACGACCTTTGCCTGCATGGCCCTAACACTAAGCCTATAGTAGCAGTTTCGAGCACTGTATGGTGCTTCTTCATCCATACTTTTGCTCTGCTACACTGACAAACTTTCAAAAATCAAAATGTATTTGGCAGTAGTTGGGGTCTGGCAAGTCACTTTGCATGTCTACAGAGACCTAAAAGACCTACACCTTAAAACCAAGTCCACCCCAAAGTGTGGCTCCTGTTAATAGCCCTGTATAACTGAAGAAAGGATAAACTGAATCCTCATCTCAGAAGCTGGGGAGATTTCCTTTTAGGCTGGCTTAAATGAACACAGCGTGGGCGCCTGGAGGAAATCACCGTCTTTCATCTGGTAAATGTGTCAGGAGCGTGTTTGCACTGGGGAAGTGAAGCCTTGCTGTCCAGAAAGCGAGGGATAGGAGGGAAGAGGAATTAGCAAGATGAAAGCCAGGAAATCCATCACATGAGAAAGGCACAGGACACGGAGCCAGGCAGGTCCTCTGGGTGGGTACATTCGGAGAAAACGGAACAGAGAACTACACAGCTACCTCCAACCAGACTCTGAATGTAACCCCAGTTTGTGTGTTTTTGTTTAGACACAGACATGGTCATCATTTACCTGTCAGCGGGTATCACATCAAAGGACTCCTCGGAAGAAGATAAAAAGGCGACTCTCCGCGTCATCAACGAAGAAAATGGGTTTCTGAACAACTCTGTAATGATTCTTACCTACGCCCTCATGAACGGTAGGCACTGTTTCAAGATTCTCTTTTGAGATGAAAGTTCCCTCTAAGTAGGAGCTGCTTAAGGAAAAGGGACTCCTGCCCTGGCTCCCATGCAGCTGTCGGGCGAGCACTAGCAGCTCTCTTGTCCCCAGTGCTGGGATGCGTGGCAGGTCAGGACATCTCTTTCTCACCTTGACTCTGCCTAGCAAACTGCTGGTTCTCGGACTCTACTTCTGCGGTCTGACCAAGTTTTGCATCTCTCCTTTTTTCAGTTCTCCTCCACATTCTGTCATCAGAGGTTTTGATACTGCAGGGAGATTGATATCTACCACTGGCCTAGGTTTGTTCGTTCCCAAGCATACCAACATCCTAATTCCCTGAAGCTTCTACCAGCCTCCTAGAGTGTCAAATGCAGACAGCAAGGACCTGCTTTGCAGGCCTGTCAAGAGGGTTAGCCTTTGTGTACAGCAAACCTGGAAGCATGCTAGTTTCACTGTTGAATGTTGGTAGGCGGGTTTAGAAACTCCACCTTACCTTTCTGAGACCCACCTGACCTTTAATGGTGTGAACAACACCACTCTCTACCTCTGTGTGGTATGGTGTCACTCCACCTATTAAAATGTGGCTTTTTCTTCAGTGCATCTTTTCTCTCAGGGCCACGGCCCCAGTGCTTGGGTGTTGTTATGCCTCATGGCTAGAGACAAAGTTTACTGCATCCTGTAGCCCATTCCACTTAGAGGCTCTGTGCACCCCACCCCTCACTGGTTTAGGGACAACAATCATCAGTTTGCTATGCTAAGAATTAATATGGAGAATTCCCCCAAAATGCAAATTCTAGCTATTTATCCTCAGATTCTCACTCAGACCCTATTAGGAAAGACCCAGGAATCTGTTATTCTGGAGTGGGGCCTGGAGATGTTGGCATGGTTGCTGCCTCCGGCCACCTCCTAGGCACTAGGCCTAGCCCCATGCAAAACCACAAACCTTGTGGTTAGATATCACAATACCCAATAGCCTGATAAAACAAAACTCTAAGAGCTTATAGTTAACCAGTCAGATTTATATATCAATAAAAATCTCAGTATACAGAATATCCGCACCATTTAGACAAGTTATCCCAATTATCTTAACCTTTAGATAGCCAGAACTGCTGAGGCTACTTACAGCCACTCTGGTTTACATCTCCCTCCATTTTCACCTTCCTTCCTCTAACTATAAGCTCTTAGAGTTTTGTTTTACAGGTTACTGGGTATTGTGATATCTAACTGCGAGGTTGGCAGTTATTGCATGAGTCACAGGGCCTCCGGGCCAGCAGGACTGAGATGGCCAGCCGGTGCCAGGCTTAGAGCAGGAACTTGGTTGGTGGCAGAGCCTAGAAGCTTGCTGGTCTGGTTGTTTTCATTTAATACCTCCCACTACAGCTCACAACCACCTATGACTCTAGCTCCAAAGGATCTGACATTTTCTTTTGGCTTCTGCACACAAGTACCTACAAACACATATAAAGTAAGTTAAAAATTTTAAGTTAACATAGAACCTGGTGGTAAGGGATCCTGGGGAAAGAGTGGACGATGATGATGTTTTTGGTCGCACACAGAGCAGCTGGCACCAAAGGGCATTTCTGCCATCTGGGGTCTGTCTCCTTCAACATGGTCACAGCACACATGCTTCTGACACACATGGCTCCTACTGGGTAGCAGTGGGTACTCAGCCTCCTGCTTGGGTCCTTCTTCTGTGGACAGAAGGTGTCCTCCCTGTCTCTTCACTTTTCCACAAGTGTGAGCTTCATGTGCATGAGGCATCTTACTGTTTGCATTGTGTTCTGACCATAGGAGCTAGCCAGCCAGGATGGATGAGGACAGCATCTTTTTGCTTAGCACTTACCCTTCTGGGTCATTTCAGGCAGCCCGATGCTCTGTTCTACTTATTTTTTTCCCATGAGTGAGGAGGGAGGAAATTAAATTTCCCCAAGCCTCTGTGGTGCCTACATATGTGTGGGCTTCCCTGTCTTCACAAAGCTCTCTCACTGGGGAGAAGGGCAGGTGAATTAAATGCAGGAGAGGAGAGAGAAGACCCACAGGAAGTAATTGCTTCTTGAGTAAGACAGGCACTGAGTCAAAGTCCCTGGTATCACCTGTCTGGGCACAAAGTCTTCTATAGAGTCTTGGATACATTTGCTGTACCTCTGGCAATTCCACACTTTAAGACATGTGGTAACCTCCATTCACCCATCCTTATCAATTCAGTTTCTCAGTTTCATCTTCCAAGACACATCCTGACACGGCTAATTCATTCACTGGAGCAGACACTCGCCCTCACTGGGTCCTCCAGGAGTTCAGATAGTGAAGCAGGGCCACCATGAGATGTTGAAAGAACTTACTCTGTGTGTGTGTGTGTGTGTGTGTGTGTGTGTGTGTGTGTGTGTGTAACCATTTACCATTTTCCTGATCTCCCCAAGGCTTTTGATTTCAGATGTGTGAAAGTTTGAAAGAGATGGATTTTCTGAGAGATTTTGATGAGGTAGACACAATGGTCAGAGTGACTGGAAAAATATAAAAAAATGAAGTTCACAACTTAGAGAAAGTTTAGTCATCAGACTTTCAGGGAAAGCTGGAAACTTTGAAGACAATTTAGAAGTTGTGGTATAGAAATCTCTGGAAGCTCTAAGCATGGTGGTTCACGCCTTTTATCCCTGCACTTGGGAGGCAGAGGTAGGTGAATTTTTATGAGTTCGAGGCCAGCCTAGTCTACAAAGTGAGTCCTTGAGTCCAGGATAGTCAGGGCTTGTTACACAGAGAAACTCTGTTTCAAAAAACAAAAAAAAACCTCTGGAAGGTTGTTGGGTTTTCATTGCTGTTGGTTTTTCATGGCTACTGGCTCTTGGTGGAATAGCTAGACAGCTTACCTAGGGTTGATGTTGATGGGCAAGCCAGCAGTTTGGAAAGGAAGCTGGAACATTCTGATGTCTCTGTGTCTGTCTCTCACCATCTCGCAGTTCACTTCATAAAACAACTTTTGGCATTTTTAATTTGTGAGCACACAACAGAGAGGATTCTGAGAACGGTGGTGTCTAGCATGCCTATCTTGGTGGATTTACAATCTAGTGTATTTACTAGTTTGCCATGGATCATCCAAAAAAAATGGCAGTGTCAATAAGCTAACTCTCCATCCCACACTGTTCTGCCGAACCTAGCAAATGTTGTCACTGGTTAACATTTTGAGAGCCAAGCAATGTTGAGAAAAAGAAATATATCTGTTGCCTGAATCCCTTCATCATTTTGCCTCTGTGAGTGTTTCTTGAGATGAGGTCAAAACTCAGTCATGTCTTTTACTCTAAAACAGACCCCTCACCAATCTTAGCTCTTGCTGAGCCAGGGACTGATCATCTGATTCTCAAATGATTTATCTCAAGAATTTTATTTCTTTCCTTTAGCACTGAAGAAGTAGCATGAAATTTGATTTTATCTGGATATAATATCTTAAAACAGAAGTAAGTGGGTCATAGTGGCACATGTCTCTAATCCCAGCACTCAGGAGGCAGAGGCAGAGACCTCTCTGAGTTCAAAGCCAGGATTGTCTGCATAGCAAACTTTAGGCCAGCCAGAGTTACAGAGTAAAGAACCAGTCTCATTTAAAAAAGGAATGATGATAGATGATACATCAAATATAGCAAAATAGAAATAAATTCTTGATGTTGGAAAAAGGCTCGCTGCATAGGGGAAAAGCTAACAGCATATATGGCTGGTGATCTTTGAAATCTTCAGGTTCCTTACGGACTGAATAGCTCATAATTGGCTGTTGAAATCTTCAAGACTGTGAGACAAAAATCTTTTGGAAGTGTAATGGTAGTCTCACTAACAACTGAAAGCGCTTGAACTTGTTTACAATGGTGTACCCATGTGACATCAGTTACTAATCCTTTTGACTATATGCCAGCAATAGCAAACTTAAAAAAAAAAGTTTATTAAATTTATTTTTGTACTATGGAGTACAGATGTTGTAGAACAATACATCCCACTATGGTTAAATCTTTTTACAAAGTTTTCAATACCCCATAAATATAAAAAAATACACATTAAAATAAATCAAATTTAATATTATCCTAACAATATCAAGCATAAAGACATTTGTAATTAAAATGAACTGGAAGATGAGGGTTTAGAAGCCTTGCTAAATGTAGACCATAATTCTTTCATTTGGTTTCCTGGGTTTTTGGCAAGTGGTTTTACAGGCGAAGACATAAGCAACGAAATGGTAGAGTTCTTTAAATCTCTCCAAAGTTCATCCACTCCTTTAAATTAAATGCAGACCTGTTAACTATTACTTTTGCTTTCAGATATTAAGTGCAGCAAAGAATTTAAATCTTACAATTAAATGTTTAGGAAGAGCACATCCTTCGCATCCCATGTGTTTTTCATCACAGTCTTTTGAAGAATCCCTTTGTGCTTTTGACTGGAGCCATTGCGTGTTTTGGCTTACAGTGGGAACTGGTATCATCCTGGGTCTATATTAGCTGTATTGAGACCCCTTGGATGCTGCAAGTCTTCGTCTATTTGTTTTGAATTTTGTTTTTGTTTGTTTAATACAGAGTCTCGCTATATAGCTCTGGCTGAATTTACTAGTAGGCCAGACTGCCCACCCCCTGAGTGCTGGGATTGAAGGCATGCACCACCACACTCAGCACAAGACCTCATTTGTATCCATAGTGGATCTAAATGGCAAACTGCTTCCTGGAGATAACCAAGCTTCTTCCATATTTTTGATTGTAGACGGGTTGACTGGTTTGAAGGAGTTGGCGTTCCTCAGGGACCTGGCTGAACAGAACTCTGGGAAGTATGGAATCCCAGACCGGACAGCCTTGCCTGTGATTAAGGGCAGCATGATGGTGCTGAACCAACTGAGCAACCTGGAGACCACAGTCGGCAGGTTCTACACTAATCTTCCCAACCGGATGATTGACGAGGCTGTCTTCAGCCTCCCCTTCTCTGATGAGATGGGAGATGGTAAGTCTAGGGAAAATGTCCCACTGTGTGGAAGAGGAAAGGGATGAGCAAACAGAGAAGCTGCCCCTCCCTGTTCAGTCTCTCATGTCTGCCACCTAACCTGCTGTGCACTAAAGCATAAGCCCAGTGCTCTTTCCTCCTTGCTCTAGCCTCAAAAGATGGAATGGTATGATTTGTGAGGCAGCTTCATGAGGAAGTGCCCACAGTCAAGTGGCTTCAGCTGGTGCCTTTGCGTCACAGTGCACAGGGAAACACAAAGATTGGCCCCACTGTGTTTATGGATCTCACACTTCTTAAGTCTTTATCACATTAATTCTCCATTCGGCCATCTGCCAAGAGGAATAAAAAATCTGTGAATTTTTTAGGATTACTTCATATATCTATATGGATATTAATGAGTATTAACATATTAAGATGTCTACCTACATATATACATATATACATACTTACATACATATATACCACCCATCTATAATCACTGCTTGTTTGCCTTGGCTGTTAACACCATCATCCTGATGCCACAAGTACCCAGAACAGAATGTTGAGCAATCGCTTTAACTGTCATGTGATTCAGTCACCTGACCTGAGAAAGGGGACTCATTTCACTCAAAGTAGCACATATAAAGTGTCTATACAAATGCCTGGCCAATGGCAAGTCAATTCTCAGGAAAATAGAATCTTTTTGTTTTTAAATCTTCATTTTATTTTTTCAATGTTTCTTAGATATTTAAATTTTTATATGTAGGTATGTTTTGCTCACGTGCATGTCTAAAGCATGTGTGTCCTGGAACTAGAGTCATGAACTCTTGTGAATCAATATGTGGGTGTTGGGAATCAAACCTGGTCCTCAGCATGAACAAGTACTCTCGACCATTGAGCCATCTCTCCAGCACCATCTCCTTTTCCTCTTCCTCCTTCTATGCCTCCTTCCCCTACTCCTCTTCCTCCTCCTTTTCTTCTTCTGATAACTTATGACAGAATTTCTCTGTGTAATCCCTGGCTGTCCTGGAAGTCATTCTGTAGGCCAGGCTGGCCTCAGACTCAGGGAACCCTCTGCCTCTGCTTCCCCAGTGCTAGGATTAAAGGCATGTGCCACCACGCCCAGTTTAATCTTCACTTTCTTACTTAGCCTTCTTCCACGAAGTTGTCGGCATTCCAAGAAAATTCACTTAAAAGGCAGCAAGGGACATGTTTTCTAGAAGCTTTTTTTGATTTGTTGGTTTTTTGTGCACACATGTCTCTGTGTGTGCATGTGTGTTGGGTGTACATACTTGTGTGTGCCATACATACACCAAAAACGTATGTCTTAGGTACCTTCTTCCTCAGTTGCTCTCCCCCTTTTTTCTCAGTCTCGCACTGAACCTGGAGTTGACTAGTGATATCTAGACTGACTGGCCAGCAGGCTCCAGAGTCCGCCGTGCCAGCACTTGCCATGCCACTCAGCTTCTTTACGTGTGTGCTGAGGACCCACAGTTAGATCCTAATGCTCATGGCTCCATCATTTTGCTGCCTGAGCCTTCTCCCTGGCCCAACATATTCCTTTTATATGAAGAGGCATAACAGCTGCTGTTCTTTTCTTTTCCCTTCTTCATGGGTTCACAGATGTGTGTAGTTGTAGAACCCCTGCCTTCTTCAGTCTAGACTATTTCTCTTGGTAGTAATAGTCCCGTGACTTAAACAGATGTGTCTTTTTTTTTTTTTAATCTTTTAGTGCCAGCCAAGTGCTGTACCACACAGTGAGGTGGAAGGTACACAACCCTGTCATTAAGATTTTGCTGATATGAGACTGATCAAGAAGTCCTATAAATACTGTGTAAAAGCTATAAAGGCAGATGTAGAAATGCAGTCCTTTAGGAACCCAGCAGGATGAGAGAGAGAGAGTGGAGCACTTCCTAAAATTTACACCTTACGTGAGAATGTAGAGTTACCTGCTTGTTGATGTTTCCCAACTGTTAGCCTGCAGGTCTCATTTCACAAATCCTGCACAGTGGATTTCAGTCAGTATTTGGCACATCTGTTTAATTTCCGTGCCAGAATGTCCCTTCTATCATGCTTTCTGCTCTTAGAACTTATTAGGTGACACATCCTCTGGCTCCATGACTTGAGAACTTGAATGCAGAGAAATCAATGTAGATGCTAACTCACTGTAAATTAAATATCATTTGATGAGCCATGATCTGTGTGAGCAGGAATGCAGTATGTGCATATATTTGCTGACCATGGATCTCTTTAAAACATAACTTACCTGTATGTTTAAGGTTCAGGTAGAGAGGGCAGTGTTTGGAGATTTTGTGAGTGTGAGTATGTATAGCTCAACATACTTTATTTTTCACATTAGGGTCAAGTTCCTTTCATCCAGACGCTGGGGAAATGACCCAGTAAGGAGCTTATCTGAGTCCAGATTCCCCTAGAGCCCATGTAAAATGCCAGGAATGTGGAGTCACATCTGTAACCCTGGTGCTGACATGAGCAGAGAGAGGCAGACCACAGGGGCTCCCTGGCTGGCTAGTCTAGCTGAATCAGTGAATGCCAGATTCAGTGAGAGACCCTGCCTCTATCGTGCAACTGAGAAAGACACCTGGCATGGACCTTTGGCATCTGAGTGAGTGCCTGTGTACATACATGTACAAATACAAACATGTAAATACATACACAGGCACATGCACATGCAAATCGGTTAATTGGTAATTAGTTAATTTACAATACAAAGAGTCTCCTGTGCAAGCTCATAATGAAAAAAGTAAGTATGAGGCTCATTTTTCAGTTCTTTTTGTCATAGCCACAAGAGGTTGGACTGTTTGCATCTTGGTCATGGAGCACCACTGTTGTACTTTACTGGTCTATGAAAGTGATTTTAATGTTAAACAAAATCCCAGGGAGAAGTGGCCTACATTGGGACCTTTGTCTTTATACTGCTTCTCACAACACTGTGTATGCCATACACAGCCATTCATCCAGGAAGACCTAAACACAAACCTCCTGCAGGATGAGCAGTTAACACCGTCCTCAATAACTGCTGTTTTCAAACAGATGATAAGAAACATTTTAAATAAGAACTGAATGGAGGGTACTTTAAAGGTTTGACGAGACCCCCTACCCCCTATGGAATGAGTTTTTACAAACTTTTTCAGGGATGTGTCTCCTTCTGCTAAGGGATACATTTGGTTGGTCTCTGCAACCACACCAATTCAACACACCTAGAGTATTGTCAGCATCTGCAGTTCTCTATTTGGAAGTCCATTCTTTGTAGACGTATTTAAGAGTGTCCAAATCCAGGCTGGAGAGATGGCCCAGCTGTTAAAGCACTGACTGTTCTGCCAGAGGTTCTGAGTTTAATTCCCAGCAACCACATGGTGGCTCACAACCATCTGTATTGCGATTTAATGCCCTCTTCTGGTGTGTCTGAAGTCAGCAACAGTGTACTTATATACATAAAATAAATATATCTTAAAAAAAAAATAAGACTGTCCAAATCCTTCCCCAAGGTGTTCTACAAGGGAACATGCCACCAGGTACAGGAAATTGTAAGACAGAAAAGCATGTCGTTTTTATGTTTTGAGATTTATTTAAAGATTGCAACATGGTTAGAGATTGGAGAGATTACCTTGTCTTGGCTTCAGGAAAACACATCCATATCCATGAAGATGGAAGGGCTTTCCCTGCCTTACAGTGGAGGCAGGAGAGTCTGGTGCCTGCCTGTCTTCTTAAAGCTATCTCTACACCTTTCTCCCTGCACAGTTTCCTCTTGTCTGCCTTTCCCTTCCCAGTTCTCCTGTTGTCTCCTGTGGCATGTGAGAGAAGTATAATCTGTATATTTTGAAAAATTGCTTTCAAAAGAGGAATACAAGAGAATAGATCCCCGAGACAGTATGGCCGACAAGACCTACACTCTTCCCTATCTGGCCCTTCACATGCCAGCATGGGGACTGGCCTTTGTGACTAGAAATGCATTCCTATGGACATTTGATTTTCCTTCAGCTACTCAGGGTTCTGTGTGATCAGTACTTGTGCCTTTCTAACTTTGCCCTTCTCTGTCTTGGGGGTTTTTGAAAAGATATGTTAATGAGTTGTAACGGCTGGCTCCTTTATGAACTCCTATTTTAGTTCAGTGTCCCCTAGAAATAAATGGTTCCTTTGCTCTGGGTCCTGTGAGCATCGGCAAAGGGATCTTATGTTGACTGTCACATGTATAATCCAGTACAACTGGAATGCAACTCACATTGTTTTCAGACTCCTTATCCAGAGCTGTATTGGCGTACAGCTGAATCTCGCCACTTTACCCGATATATTCGGCACTGCGATATTTTCTATTGATTCTAAGCAGCATGGCTTACATAGGAAAGTAGGGGGGGAATCACCCATCTTTAAATTAACTGCCATATTTGACCTGCCAAAGGGCCGTCTTCTCTTCCTTTGTCTTACTTTCCATGCAGTCTGCAAGGGCAGAGCTTAGGGCCTGGACCACAGAAAACTTTTTCCAGTGTTAGTAACCTTCATGATTCACAAGAGCCCAGATCCAACCATTGTTCAGACTTCTGTGCCATTCTTTGATTCTATTTTTAACCCACAGGTTTGATAATGACTGTGAGTAAACCCTGTTACTTTGGAAACCTCCTCCTGGGAATCGTAGGTGTGGACGTGAATCTGGCTTACATTCTTGAAGATGTGACATATTACCAAGACTCTTTAGCTTCCTATACTTTTCTCATAGATGACAAAGGTAATTACAAAGAGTTAATCATAAGAAATAACACTTTTACTTGCAACTTAAAGAAAGCAGTCTGTGCATATTCTTGTATTAATAAATGAAGTGGAATAAAGAGAGTTCTCGGAGAACTCATGTCACCAGGACCACTCTGGCAGTGCAAATGTATCATAGAGACGGCCGAGTGATGTCACAAACCATGAGGTCATGCTATGCTCTGTTGTGAGATTGTTGGTTTTTAAAACATCAAGAAGTTAGTTAGACTTGGGGGTGAATAGCACATAGTACGAGGTTTAGATGGCTTTTTGTTAGTGTTCTTATCTTTAGATTCCCTGGCAGGAACGTTTATGTATAGCAGATTAGAACATTCAATAAAATGAAAACCAGAAAAACAAATACCCCCTAAATAGCCTCAATTACACAAATGTTCAGTACTCTAAGACCTCTTTCAACACTTCAGGAGTTTTATGAGAGCTCACATAAAACAGGGTGAGTTTTATTGGGCTGCTAAGGGATACATATGGGTTCTAAGCACTGGGAGCCATCTCAGATGGTCCACAGTTTAACCAGTGATGGGCAGGTTTGTTAGAACCAACATCTTGCTACCTCTTCCTTATAACACATCTTGTTCTGTGATTTCAGGGTATACACTTATGCATCCATCTCTCACCAGGCCATACTTACTGTCAGAGCCTCCCCTTCATACTGACATCATACATTATGAAAATATCCCCAAGTTTGAATTGGTTCGGCAAAATATCCTAAGGTAAGAATTGGTGAAGGATACAGGATTTCATGTTCCCTCAAAAGGGGACCTGTTGAGATCAAGTGTGTTTTCCACAGGGTGTAAGGCAAGTATTGAAATTATCTTGTTACCAGTGGTTTTCTGAGTAAATTTTTTATAATCATAAGAGGCAAGGGTGGAGGAGATGGTTCAGTGGGTGAAGGTGCTTGCTATGCAGGTTTGGCAATCCAGAAACCATATAAAAGTAGAACAAAAGAATCATCTCCACATAGTCATCCTCTAAACTACACACTTGTACCATGGCACCCCCCCCACACACACACACATGTGAACACATAGACAATAATAATAAATAAAAATTAGATTAGAAAACAAGAACCTAAAGAACAGCAGACAGAATCTTGATATAACAGGGATATAAAGTCTCTCAAAATTGTTTAGAGGCAATGTCCTGTCAATCAAATTTTACACTTACATCGAGTTGAATTGTAAAATAAGGTATGTGTTAGCTCATTTCTAGAAAGTCTGATGTTTCACCCATACTTAAATGTGTTAGCAAAATAAAAAGTTAAGATGAGGACCAGTAAATAGCTTATCAGCATAGTGTCTAACAGCACTTTATGCAGCACTCTCTCTTAAAATAAAAACAGATTGGATGTTTTCCAACTGTGATATGTTACTTTGGCAGACGGTAACCTATGGAGGAATGAGTCTCCGTGCCCATTGGTTGAAAATTAATAAGTGAGCGATTTGAGACAAGTCAGTCTCTGGAAAGAATTAGGACTGTGGGGCAGGGTAGAGGCGGAGGATGGCTTTCAATGCAGAGTTGACACAATGCTTTTACAAAATTGAAAAATCTCGCATCGAGTCTTTCAAAGTGATGAGTTTCAATGCTGTTCAGAAGCAGGTGGTGCCCATTGGCTCACAGCTTCCTTCTCGCCTTTAATTAAGTGCTTAATTCTCTCTCTTGCCTGAGGCATTCAGTTCTCTTTTTTTCCACACAGCCTCCCTCTCGGCAGCCAGATCATCACAGTCCCTGTGAACTCGTCCCTGTCTTGGCACATCAACAAGTTGAGGGAGACTGGAAAGGAGGCCTACAATGTGAGCTACGCCTGGAAGATGGTGAGTGATTGGAAGTCGTGTGGGTCCGACGGTCCATGAAGTCCAGCTCAGTGCTCTTCTCACCGGAACAGAGGAGCGTGTGGGTCAGCCTGTGTGGCTGACTAGATTTAGAGAGTTGGAGAAAGAAGACATTCCACAGATGGTTTATATAATTTTTTTCCTTTCTTGTTTAGAAAACCGGTAATTGATCATGACAAAGAGATCAAATCATATCAAAAGATATAAAAGGAAAAAAAAAAGATCCTCTCCTTCCCACCCTTGACTCATTTCCCATCATAACCACTTCAATCCAGTTTTCAGGACTGTTTTCCTTCACAAACAAGTGTCTGTGTGTACACTTGCATGATGTTCGTTAGTGGCTATATGAATTTATGTAGCTAGATTCAAACCTCTTCAAGTGACTTTTTTTTATTACAATTACTAATGTGTGCATGTGTGGGCACATAGAGGCCAAAGGACACCTTGTGATAGTTCCCTCTCTCAGCAGGAGAGTCCTCAGGGAATCACAGTTGACAGGATTTAGCCACCTGCTAAGCCACCTGAAGACCTATTTTTCTTTCAAGATTTATTTATTTTATGTATATGAATACACTGTAGCTGTCTTTAGACACACCAGAAGAGGGCATCAGATCCCTTTCCAGATGGTTGTGAGCCACCATGTGGTTGCTGGGAATTGAACGCAGCCCCTCCGGAAGAGGAGCAATCAGTGCTCTTAACCACTCAACCATCTCTCTAGCCCCCTCCCCACCCTACCCCCCAACACACACACCTTTTTTAAAAAATATATAGATCATTCCCTGTATTTTGGTTGATATTGTTTTTATTGTTTTTTATTTATAATTTAAACTCAGACAGTAGCAAATTGGGGTTTTAAAAGAAGATATAAGTACATAAACGCCTTCTGCAAAGGAAATGAGGCCTTAGATTAGAGATTGGAGTGTTTGTCCTCAGCACGGACAGATGGACAGTGTAGCCGTGACTAGGGTATGCTCAGGTGCCGTCTTCTACCAGCCCCAGTCATACTGGGCCTGAGAGTCATAGAGAAACAAATGAGAATACTCTTGCATCAATATGGCAGAGCAATGTTATTGGGAGATCCCAGGTTCTGTACCCAGTGGAAGCAAAGATGTTCATTTTATCCCCAAATCTCAATTACTGAACTTAAAAATGCAGTCGTGCTTGCTATTTACACCAATCTCCGTGATCTGGGGCAGTCACTTTTCCCTGGCTGCTCGATGCAGTCACAGGGCAGAGAAAGCAGAGGTATGTGGCTGATGCCAACATAGTACGACACACTGTGGTTTGGTATAAGTAGAAATAGATATCCTAAAGTAATGATTTAATTACTCTAGACTGAGCACCTGCCTATCATGGACAGATATGTTGACCCATGTAGACTGGGCAAGAGTACCATGTGCTTCCTGTGAGCTTAAACAGTGATTGTGTTCATCTCCAGCCTGGGGAGGAGACAGTGTTTGTAGGGGACAAAATAGTATGCTGGGCTCTGTAGTGACTGTCCCTGAGCCCTTCTCTTAATGAGGATTCACAATTAGTTAACAACACTCCCAGAACACTTTTATAAAAACAATGTGCTTTTTTTTTTCTCTTAGAGGTAGAGGATGTACCATGGGCCATGGGAAACAAGTCAAGCACTCTATCACTGAACCATACCCCAGGTTCCTCTTGTGCATTTAAGGCCAGATTAGAAATTACCCCTGTACTCTACCTGTATTGGCGCATACACACACACTTATGTTCATTAACCCACACACATGCAAACACACATACACACTCACACATGCACACGCACATGCACATGTCCATTAACCCATCTAAGCCTGACAAACCAGGGTCACAGTTGCCGATGGACTCCTTTTCTCTTCATTCATTCGCTGTAGGATATTGTGTTACACACATGTTCCTTGACCAGAGAAAGGAAAACAGAAAATATCTTCTGTAAATCCTTACAGCCTTCATGCATTATTCCAACATCACATAGCACCTTCCACAGTGAGAAAATAATATATGCAACTTTCTGTGTTAGGCATCCATTGCTGATGTATTATTTTTTTAAAACAGGTACAGGACACTTCCTTCATTCTGTGTATTGTGGTGATACAACCGGAAATACCTGTCAAACAACTGAAAAACCTCAACACTGTACCCAGCAGTAAGCTGCTGTACCACCGGCTGGATCTTCTGGGCCAACCCAGTGCTTGTCTCCACTTCAAGCAGTTGGCAACATTAGGTGAAGCTCACGGGCTCCTCAGCCTCCTCCATGATCTTACTCATTCAGATCATAAGATTTCATCCGAAACATCTGTTTGAATCCTGCTCCCTGCCTGTCCGCCCCCCACCCCAAATACTAAATGTTTCCAGTTCTAGAAATTGCAAAGCAGCCAGGTATGATGGTTTACACCTGCAGTGCTGGTAATAATTAGCCTGGAACAGGCAGATCACTGTGGGCTGAAGGCCAGCGTGGACTGTATATTGAGTTTCCAGACATCCTGGGCTGTGGAGTGAGGAACTATCTCAAGAAACAAAATAACAACAACAAAATATACTCCACCAAAAGCAATAGCTTTCTGTCCTAGCTGTTGCTAAGTTAGCACCTGTCATCAGTGTTTCTTCCCTACCTTCCCACCCCACCTCTTTCCACCCTACCACACTCCTACCTGCCTCCGTTTCCTGCCATTCTACTCTCAACTTGAGCTTTTAGAGTCCACCTGAGTGAGACAATGTGTCATATTTATCCTTCTCTGCCTGGCTTATTTCATTTAACGCAATAATCTCCAGTTTTATACAGGTTTCACTAGTCTGTGGCTACATAGTATTATATTGTATTTCTGTACCACATTTTCTTCATTCTTAGTTGATGGACACTTAGGTTGTTTTCATTCAGGGTTATTATCAACAGTGCCACATTGAACGTGGGGGTACCAAATGTATGGTCTAATATTCCTTTAGATAAGGGAGTGGAATTGCTGAACAACATGATAGCTCTAGTTTAAATTTCTAGAGGAGCTTCTATAGTGTCTTCCATATTGGCTTATTGTAGTAACTTACTTACCTGCTGACCAACAGTATTCAAGGCATCCCTTTTTCCACATCTTTATCAAAAGCATTACCTTTAGTCTTTGGATAAGAACCATTCTGGCTGGGGTCACGTGATTTTGCATTGTAGGTGTGATTTGTATTCCTGGTTGTTTAGAGATAGCAACTGGTCTATATATCCCCATTGGCCAAGCTGATATATGAGTCATATACACTTGGTTGGCTATGCTGATGCATGCCAGGTACAGAGGAGGCCTTTATAGCCTATGTAGTCAATACACTACAGGATACCCACTGTTTAGATAAACAGCTGCCTTCTTTTTCCCTGTTAAAAATATTTACTATTCAAAAAAGTTCATGATCATTACACAGCAAACAAACCAAGTAGAGGGTCAGAGGTTAGAAGATCAAGGACGGAGTCTCCATTTTCTGAGTTCCAAATGTGAACAGTGGAACTTGATTTCCTCCTAAATTTGTTTCTACAAAGTTCTTCCCAGATACTAGACCAACACTCCAGGCCAGGCTAAGTGATCTTTTCTGTGGCATACTTCAAAAATATCAACAATTTAGAGAAAGCCTGTGATGTTAGTCATAAAGGGCTGGATCTTACATTTGTTTGTTTGTTTTAATTTGGGCTCTGGGGTTTCTATGTCTGTTTTATATGAGAGAAAATATTATATATATATATATATATATATATATATATATATATATATATGTTTTCCATTTTAGTAAAATAATTTACAAAAAAGCTAAGACTTTTTTGAGCCAATAAACTGCACATTACTGCTGGCAGAGATGAGGCACTGCCCTGAGATTGAGGACAGGGGGTGGGTTGGAGCTCCTGGTGAGAAAGAAGCAAAAGCCTACCTACTTAAATTTCATTTGCATACTTCCTCATAGGTACACTGTCCACTATATTAACTACTGGCTGCCTGTAGCTGTTGGGGACTTGAAAGTCAGAATCAAGATATATGGGATGTGTGGCATGAATGTTAGATTTTGTTTTATATTAACTACATACTGAGATGACCATATTTTTAATTTTTCAGAAGTGTATCAAAATTAATTTAATCATTTCATTTTCTTTTGTTTTACGACTTTCAGTTTTAAATTGCACTTACAGATGCCATTATATTAATGTTACAGTTGGACAGCATCGCTCATGAGTGTACAAGGACAATGTAGCACTTTTCAACTCAAACACACAGTCTGATTGGCTGATGCCAGGCCACATAGGCAGAACTTGGATCACTGCTCACTTTCACAGGGAGCTCTTCCCACCATGCCATCCATGCTTACATGGGTGGCAGGACCCTGGGGAAATGTGGAGGGCTCACCGGGGATGGTCTTGTCTCAGGTAGCAGTGGAAGTAGCACAGACTATTAAAACACAACAAGAAAGGAATGGGAGCGATGCAAGTGGTTTCTGTCTGACTTCCAGGATGAGGATTTGACATGTATGGTAGTTGTTCTCCAAAGAGGCCCTGGGGTACAGTGCACACTTGCCTTATACACAAACACTTGGGTTTCCATCCCTTGTACTAAGAGGGAAGACCGTGATAGAAAGATATCATCTCTTGGCGTCCAAAAAGAGAAAGAAAATGTGTTTTATTTGGTTTTATTTTGTTTTTTTTTTTTGTGTGTGTTTTTTTGTTTTATTTTTTGTTTGTTTGTTTTTTCGAGACAGGGTTTCTCTGTGTAGCCCTGGCTGTCCTGGAACTCACTCTGTAGACCAGGCTGGCCTTGAACTCAGAAATCCGCCTGCCTCTGCTTCCCAAGTGCTGGGATTAAAGGAATGCGCCACCACTGCCTTGCGAAAATGTGTTTTAAAAATACATTCCTAAGGCAGTTTTACATGTACGTACGTATGTATGTATGTATGTACGTATGTATATATGAGCCTGTATGTATGTGTTTATGTTTGTATAAATGTATAAGCTTTCTATGTTTGTATGTATGTATGTATGTATGTTTGTATAAATGTATAAGCTACATCCTAGACACAAAGCTTTGAGTCTGATGTGTTGTTGTTTTCTCCCCCGTGATTCCTAAACTGTCTCACGACATCAACCTTTTCTGAAATGCCAACCTCTGTTTCTGTAAGAAAGACTCGCCCCACCCCCCACCCCCCAGAGCATCTGTACTTTTCTTCACCTGGCCCTCTTTCAATAATCTTGACTTTGAACTGTATTTGTCTTAGATAATTGTTTTCTTCTAGATTCTTTCTCCCTGATCTGAGGGGATGCAAAGCTCCCTGAGTACAAGTACACACACACCCTCCGTCTCAGGTGCACACACGTGCACACCTTTCAGGGATGGGCCACTGACTCTTAGCACAAGTCAACAACATGGTATGGGTCAGCCTTTGGAAGCCTCTGCTTTGTAGCCCTTTGCTTCCTTGAGATTAATGCAATAGCAATGTTGCAGGCCATTTTATGAAGCTATCCTGAGAAGTAAGAACATCACAGGAAGCAACAGCTTCTGAGAATGGCATCCTAGCAACTGAAAATCCTAGATGGAAACAGTCCTGCAGTAATGCCTTTGGGGAAACATTGAAAACTTATACAATAGTGAGGAATAGATGATAAGAAACTCATAGATGACAAACTTCAATGAAACTTTTAATTTTTTTAAAAACAGTTCAAGTATTTATCAAACTAGAGGAGGAGGAGGCTGTATACTTAAACTTCTTCAAATAGCTTCCTGAGTCTGGGAGGTGGAGGAAGAAATCAAATCCAATATTCTCAACAGGTGGAGTCTCAAATGAAATGGCTTTCTCTATCCCCCCAGCACAAGCCTTCACATCCTTAACGTGAGAATGGAATCACAGAGTGACTAGGCTATCCTGGCTCCTTGCTGGAACTGCTTTTGCCATCCATATGGCCTCTCTCTGTAGCCCATACGACAGAATCTTGCAACAGTTCATGCTTTCTAGAAGAAGGGACTCCCCCCCCCTCCTCTGTCCTCAAAGTTATCCCTACTTCACTTTTCACTATTATGTGTCTTTTCTTTCTATAGACTCGGGCCCGGCATATGCTAGGCAAGAACTCTGCCTGTATATCCTCAGCCCAGACTCGGTTTGATTTGGCTTGATTTGGTGGGGTTTTTTTTTGTCCACCATATTAAAGCTTACCAGGTTACACTGAAACATCATCTGTGAAAGCTGTCAAAAGAAATTAAACAAACAAACAAACCTACAGATTTGAAGGAGATAGATTGTGTCATAGAACACCATTATGTGACATGAAGTGTATGATAGTGCCTTATGACACATTCTAAAATATAATAAGGTTTAACATTATGGTGCATGCTTTTAACTATCAGGAAGGAGAAGCAAGCAAATCTGTGTAGCTAGCCTGGTCTACAAAGAGAGTTCCAAGCCAACCTAGGGCACACAGTGACACCTGTTTTAAAATTAATTAGATAAATAAAAATACAGTAAAGTTGAGCAACAACAAAAAAAAAACGTAAATAGAAATTTTAGTTTCACACTATGATTAACTGCAAGGATTTTGTCTCAAATAGGAAACTAGTTTCCATGTTAGATAGTATTTAGGGCTATTCACAAGGGATGCGCTCTAAACTTGGTTTATGCCACGTTTGCCTGCCACCTGTGATAATAATTTTTTAATTTGGTTTTTGCATTGATGCCAACATTCCTCTTCTCTCTTCTTCCTGAATCACAGCACTGATGTGAATTCTCATAGGTGTCGCTGACATGCACTCTTCTGCCGGCACCTGTAAAGTACCATTCAGCTTCACTCTGGAGAATTCCTGCTGTTATTTTCCTCACTTTGCAAATGTTTGCCCAACATTTCATGGCCAGGAAATAGCAGGTCCCAGATTCTGTCCAGTCTGGCTCCATGTTTGCGCTGCATTCTTTCCTAGCAGATACACAGCTTGCCTAGCTCAAACACTCAACGATTTCTGCTTCCAGCATTTGTGCCTCTTTGGGCCCATCCCCACACTCCCCTTCACTCCTGGGACCATAAGCTCCCTGAAGGGAGAGAATGTAGCTTTTTTTTTTCCTTCCTTTTTTCTTTGCTCCCATTGTCAAGCTCTTTGTGTCCTTGTGGAAGGCACTAAGCCACCGTAGCAGACATGTTGGCAGAGCCTAAGTGATGGCTTTTGTTTGGGCCCCAGATGAAGTCTCTGTGTTCTGAGATCTGCTTTGTTGGGGTCTCTTTCAGAAAGTCCAACCGTCATGCTGTCTGCCGGCAGCTTTTCCTCCCCCTATGAGCACCTCAGCCAGCCAGAGACCAAGCGCATGGTGGAGCATTACACGGCCTATCTCAGTGACAACACTCGCCTCATTGCTAACCCAGGGCTCAAAGTATGTACTGGCACAAGCTACATCTCTGGGGCTCCTTTCCTCTGTCCGGGGGTGGAGGTGGGGGTGGGGCTGGCAATGAAACTTTGAAGTACCCAACCCTGCTTGCATCTGGACCTCTGTAGTCAGGAGGCAAAAAGGCAGAGTGTATGCCCTGGGGGAGACTAGTCAGCTGTGACCCTTTTGATGGATTAAGAAGCCCAGTAGGCCACATGAAGAATCTACTTCAGGTCTCATATGCACTGGGGGTTTCCAAGTGGGGGGTGTGATAAAGAGACCAGAGAAAATTTCCCAGTCCATTGTTCCCATGGTAAAGAAGTGTTCTGCTGTCCTTTGAGATAAATATGATATTCAGGCACCAAAAAGGGTGAAGGCTCTGTGTGTGTCTAATAATTCACCGTAGGAATTTTCTTAAACTGAGACAGGCCAGCTAGATGAACAACCGAGTAGTCACATCTCCCCTGACTGTATTCCGTGAACCTTTGTTATCATCAAGTTTGGCTGCATCCATCTGCTCTGGAAAGGTTTTGAAGAAGCAATTGGGCTTGCCTTCTCTGCGAGAGAACCTCGGGGAGTCCTGCCAGCAGCCTACACTCTTTTCATGTGAGCTTTTTTAAAGGGGCCCTGCAATGTCTTCTTTTGTTTCTTAGTTCTCTGTCAGAAACGAAGTAATGGCGACCAGCCACGTCACAGATGAATGGATGACACAAATGGAAATGAGCAGCCTGAACACGTACATTGTCCGCCGTTACATAGCAACACCCAATGGTGTCCTCAGAATTTATCCTGGTTCCCTCATGGACAAAGCATTTGATCCCACTAGGAGACAGTGGTGAGTCTGTGGGGGCTTCAGTTCCCAGTTCCTCCTAAGCCCGGTGAGCCATGATAAACACATATAGTAATGGGCAGTCATGGAACATGACACTTTCAAGGGGGAAAAATTATTTTCAGTATTTTGTTTAATATTAGATTTTCGGGTTATGTTTTGACTGCAGTGCCTTTATCTCACTATTGAAATTTTGTCACAGAACATCTTTACATTTCTCTATTTTGACTCCTAAGGGCTTGCTTGATTCCACCCTCTTAGAGGGCCATCTTGAATGAAATACTTGATCTTACTCCATGTAATTATGGCATCAAATTACACAGCTCATATATGACCTGTGGAAAATGAACACATTAATTTCAGGAATATTCTTTTACCTCTGGGCTTTGTTTTCACCCCAAAGCTAGCCAGACACTATGGCAGGGAAGCAGCATAAGCCAACAGCAGAACTGCTTGTTCTGTGTTGGGTAGCAACCAACTCACTCAGGAGTCAGTTCTTCATGCCTGCTCCTCATTTGTACTAATCCTGGATGGTTTCTTTAGGTTTATTTCTCTTCTTTCATTCTATATTTCCTTCTCAACCATCTGAACTACAGATCTCACTAAAAGCTCAGAGTCCAGTATATATTAGAACAGAAAAATCTCATTTTCTCAATTCTTTATGTTGCTGCTATCGTCAGACATAAAAGTGAGAATCTTGGTGGGTCTGCAGCTCAGTGGTAGAGCACTTGCCTCGCATGGGTAAGCCATGAGTACAAGCCCCAGCTCCTCAAAAAGAAGTCAGGAGCTAGAGAGATGGCTTAGTAGTTAATAGCCATCTTTTGCAGAGGACCCAGGTTCAATTCCCAGTCCCACTCACATTGTGGTTCCCAGGCATCTATAACTCCAGTTCCAGGGGGTCCAACACTGTCTAATCTCTGCAGGCACCAGGTATGCACATGGTGCACATACATATAAGCAGGCAAAACACTCATGCATAAAATTGTTTTTCTTTTTAATTTAAGGAAGATTTTTTTTTGATTCTTTAACATCGTAGCAGCACTGTTTATAATGAATATTTTAGAGCTACAAACTCACTGTTTCTTCAAACCTACAGAGTAGTTTATACCTTAAATCACATGACTTTTCTTGGGTCTCTGTTAGGTATCTTCATGCAGTAGCAAATCCAGGGCTGATTTCTTTGACGGGCCCTTACCTAGACGTTGGAGGAGCTGGCTATGTTGTGACAATCAGTCACACAATTCACTCATCCAGGTAATTATTTCAATTAAATTTTATAGTCACTTAAAATCGTATAAATTCCATTTAATTTATGTTATGTGTGTTTGTATGCATCCATGTGTGCACAGGACACACATGGAGGTTAGAGGACAACTTGCAGAAAGGGAGTGGTTGCCTTGTACCATTCAGGTGCCAGGGATCAGGACATCAGGTTAGCCCACTGAGCCATCTCACCAGTCCTTTCCAGTCACCTTTCAAATCCATCAAGATTTTGGATCCCACATGAAAAGCAGGGTGGGTGTGGCCACCCATAGTAATCCCAGTACTCAGGAGGTGAAGAGCAAGTTGTATAGCTACACTAACCAAATGCATTAAATACTAGGTCCAGAGGGAGACCCTGCTTCAGTAAATCAAGCAGAGAGTGACCGAGGAAGACAGTTGTTATCACCCTCAGACCTCTGTGCAGAATGCTTAGGTGCACCTACACACATGCCTCACACATACACATGCAGAAAGGAAAAGAAATACCAGCAGGAACATGACTGCTTTTATTACTAGAATTGCTTCGTTTTCCAGCAAGTGAACATTTTTTAATGAGGAACAATGTCCCACGGCGTCGGACTATTGTGTCTGATTCTTTAAAATTATACCAGTTGTTTGCTTTAGCTTTCCATTTTGTGTTTTTGAAAGTGTCTCTTAAAAATAAGAGCTTTTTGAAAACTGATGTTGCCAGACGCTGGTTAAAGTCAGTATTGCTGGACATATATACGACTTAAAACTTCAGTTCGGTGAAAGTTTGGATGGGAAGGTGCATCGTTTTAATCCCTTCATTATTCAAGTAGCTATTTTCTCAAAGCAACCAAGAAAGATCACATTTTACTGGCAACCTGGCACGATGCCTTCCTTAGAGGAAGCAGATTTTCTTGGTTTTTCAGTGGTGCTCACTATTTATCAAATGACTGATGCTAGTTAGAATTCCTCTGACATAAGGTCATTGAAACAATAACTTGAAAGCAGAGTGGGAGGGAGTCCCAGCATCAGGCCCCTGTCTCTAAGGAAAGCCATGCATGCCTGCTGCCAGCCAAACGCGACTCTAGGGCCAGGGTGTCTGCTTGACTCCTAGCTTTTCTCATAACACAAGTTTCATACATAAGCAAATAACCCTGGTATGGAGTACATTCCTTCAGTGTTTCTGTTAGCGCCATCTGGTGGGTGCGCTGTGTCTGAAAAGAGAGACACACTACCCCTAAGGTCTAATCAGCTGAGGAAAAGTAAAAAGACTGTCTCCTCAAAAGACAGAGCCCATCTCATCTTTGACGACAGTAAAAGGGATCCGAGGTGGCCTTTCAAAGATAACAGCCAGGTGTCAGTGCAATCAGGCCTCCTCAGGGCAGCTCGTTGTCAAGAGCACTTAGCCTGTCTTCTCTTGAGTGCCTTCGATGCGTGGGTCAAGACCAGTTTGTGAGTATATGTGTGTAAGCATTTTTGTTAAGGATTAGGGAAATGCAAGAGCCTGATGGTTTGGTGGCCGAGGCTTTATGGTGTCCGTTCCAGTGAAGCATGATTGGAACACAGTGACTTTTCAAATGGGAACAGCATCAGATCTCCTCTTTGGTTACCTTCCTGTAACCTGTGAGTTTACCAACAACAAAAATCCCAGACTCTGAGTCACTGTGAGTACAGATACCCCTCCCCCCACCAAGTAGGCATATGCTTTGGCTCTGCTCAAAATGTAGCCCTCAGAGAGCCTGTCGTGTGAATATTTTGCTTAACTGGGTGCAATTTAACTATTTAGAGCTGTGGCTTTTTCTTTTATCACAGTCTAGATCCAAGTCAGTGGCCTCTTCCGTTGCTCAGCCAAAGCCCCCGTGGCATGCGCTGAGAGACAGGCTTAGCAAAGGTGCCAGCCTGGGAACCTGCTCCCCTCCTTGATATATAGATATAGCTATAGACATAAACAGATGTAAATGTCCTGCTTATGATTTATGTGACTATAAAAAATCCTTCTTGCTTTCGTTTCCGCACTAGGCTAGAGGGGTATTATAGCCTATCTTAATTATTTTAATGATTAAATTAAGCAATGCATAAAGCTCCTAGAACAGCGTCCTGAACATGGGAGGTGGTCGGCTGATACACAGCAGCAGACGCTGTTCAGGCATTGACCTTGTGGTGCTTGAACTGGTCAGAAGAAACCACTGACCCAGATACTCCACGTGTCTAAAGCACAGCCACTCAGCCTGGTTTCAGATGTGCTTTGGGAGAGAGCTGGGGAGAGCTTTCTAACTCAGTGCTCAGCAGTCACTGACGGGAGCTCTGTCCGGACTTTCATAAGCATATCTAGCAGCCTGACAATCTAGCTGGTCATTCTTACCGTACGATAACACTGCCGGTGATAAAGAACCTGGACACGTGATCTCAACAATCAAAGTCACAGAAATGGATTTTCATCAGCCTGGCCCATTATGTTTAAAATTGTAGATTCGGCTCAATAGTTCTATACAATTCTTTGAGTTGCTATGGTAACAGTATACCTGTCTACAAATTCAGGTAAAATACAGAGCTAGGCTCCAGCATCTATTGATTCTACAGGCACAGGTAGCTGCCATTCGAAGGAGGTTTAGAAATAAAATGAGCAGATCCCCAAATACCTGAGCAGTACTCTTCACAGGTGCAGCTATATAGTATCGTAGAAAAGAGCTAGCCTCGGGTACTACTCTGCATACAGGGAAAGGATGATATTAAGTTTCTTAACCATTCTCAGTCTAATGTTTTCATTCATAAAATACAAACTACAATTCTTTTCTAGCTTTTTCCACAGAAATTAAATTGTTTTTACAGCCCTTAAGACCTGACTTAATGGCTAAGACCATATGCTTTGGAAATAGGAAGTGAGTTTCTATCTATGTACACACTAATTATGCCATGATGTTAGTCAAATACCTCTCTTTTCCAAGCTTCAGGTTTCTTAAATCGATAAAGCCTCCAAAGATAACCACAGAAGGGGCTGGAGAGATAGCTCAGCAGTTAGGAGCACTAATTCTTGTAGAAGACCCAGTTTGATTCCCAACATGAGTTTCAGGGGATCAAGGGCTCTAGTCATGTATATAGTATACATATATAACATGTGTAGATACTCATACACAGAAAATAAAAATAACATAAAGATCACTGAGAGAAAGGGCTGGGGTTTTTACTCAGTTCGTAGAGCACCTGCTGAGCTCATAAGCAGTAGCCCGCCCCACCCCAGATTTAAACCCCAGCACTGTGAGGAGAAAAGAAACAAGCCATCATGAAATAGTTAGGAATGTTGTTATTATTTATTTATTTATTTTCGTATGTTCCTGGTATTCAGGCAGGAAGGTGATAATAGCTATTAGGTTCTCAGTGCTCCATGTTGGGGTCATGGCGAGCAAACCCTGCTGGTTTCCACTGAGTGACTTCTACCTGAATATATGACAGTGAGGTATTTTGCTAAACATGAACACTCTCACGTTTGATTGCAATCACCGACTTACTTTGTAAAAGTACTATTATTATCTTCATTTTTGTATGAAAAACTGAAGCTTTCTAAAGGCAAAATAGCAGTCAGGAATCCTATAAATAAAGCCAACTATGCCAGAACTTGACCCTACATCTACCAAAATGTCAACCAGTAGTGTCAGGCTTTACTGGCCAGCTTTACCTACTGACTCTCCTTTTTTGAGAATAATAGTATTATAGAATAGAGGTTTTACTGGTCTGCAATGAGAAGACTCATTCTTAATGTGACTATGTTTTGAGTAGTTCATCATGGTGTAGTGAAAAGAAAACTGGACGATGTTCCTGATAAGTATTGTATGGCCTTACTATGCTTGCTCAATCTCTGAGAGAACTGTTTCCTTACCAGCAAAATGCAGAAAGTAATTAGTGGCAGCCACTCATGTTCATTTTCTAAAAGTCTGCTGAAAGTAACTATATGGTCTGTGAGATGGGTCAGAGGGTCAGGGCTCCTGCTGCAAACGCAATGGGCTGAGGGGCTATGAGGTAGAGAGAGAGAAGTGACTCAGCCACGTTGTCTTCTACACACATACTGTGGCAAGCATGCACCCACAAATACCCACAGACAGACAAAATACATGCTTATATATGCATACATACATACATAATCATATATACATACATATGTACATAATTGTTTTAAAATTTGTTTTAAGTAGCCAGACCAGCCACCTCTCACATGTCTATACTGATATTTTTGCTAAAAAAAAAAAAAAAAAAAAAAAGAACATAGGAGGGGTGTGGCCATATTCCACAACTTTTCATGTTTGGTGCTGGTCTTGTTCAGAAAGCCATTATGAAACTCTTAATGTCTCCCCTCAAGCTGTCTGTATGTTGTATTCAGTCACTCAGCATTTACAGGTGTGGGAGGTGGGGAGGGCATGTATTTCCAGTATCAGACAATGTCATGTATGTGACTCTTACTCTCATTGGTCCTTTCATATAAAGTACACAGCTGTCTTCCGGACACACTGTGGCTGTAATGGGTATCGACTTCACACTGAGATACTTCTACAAGGTTCTGATGGACCTCTTACCAGTTTGTAACCAAGATGGTGGCAACAAAATAAGGTAAGCCCTCAGGGGACACCATTTCCTGTCTACTGCCAAAATGAGAACAAATCAACACTAGGTATGGACCAGGTCAAGACAGGAGATTGAGTTCATGGCACATGTGAGGTCAGAGGCTAACTTCGGGTGTCTGAGACGAGCTTCCTTAATTCATGACTGCATACACCAGGGTACCTGACCCGTGAGCTTTTGAGGATTCTGTTGCGGTGAATTAGTTAAACCACTTTGGCTCCCTGCATGCTGCACCTGCCCAAAAGCTTTCTGGATTTGTGAATGTAAGACAGACAGACAGACAGACAGACAGACAGACAGACAGACAGACACTCACACACACACACACACAACGCACCAGCCAATTTTGATATGCCTTGACTAGTTCAATAGTTGGACACTTCTGAACTTCCCTGAGGCTTGTACACACTTCCCTCCAGTATTCCTGGCTTAACATCTTTTAAAAATCTATGTTTTATCTCTGTTGCCCTGTTGCCATTTTGGCAGCTTCCATCCCTCCTCCCCCATTGGACTCCATTCCCTTTACATCTACATTGTAGGATACTTTCTTTCCTGCAGCTCTTAAATCTGAGCCTTCTCCCTCCAAGTCATGGTGATTCTCCTCTTCCCCCCCCCCCACCCCCGTTCATTGGCACACAATCTAAAAATCCCACCCCATCTCCCTGCCCGGCCAATGGCTGTATGGCAATTCTTTATTATCAACCGAAGCTGGCTGGGAGCAGGGACTCTCAGGTCTGGAAGAACAGCTTTTGGGAGCTGAAATAAGACAAAGCATTACAACCAATTTTCAACAAGATTCTGGTTACAGATGTGTGCTAGTGCACCGAGGTTTTCATGAGTCTGGATAATCTCAAGACAAGTGTTTTTCCCCCTGAGCCATCTCCCCAGCCTTCCTTTCCTTTTTTGAAGGTGCATGCTGTTTATTATTTAGACAAGCAGGTATGGCACACAGCAAGAGGACTAGCGCAGGGCCCCAAAGTCTTGCTTCTCTAGGAGCCAGTGACTAGAAGCTCAGCATTGGCATTGGGAAGAGCAGAGGGCACTTTCTCTCAGGCAGCACTTTTGATGTTAACTTCGTCATTAAGCCAATCTTTGTAACATTTCAGCTGCTTGCTTAGACTGCACTTTTACATTTTCCCAGAAAGAGGCTCACAGAACCGTGAGACTTTGCCTTCTGAATTTCAAAAGAAAATGTCTGATCAAAGCAAGGGCATTCCCTTGATTCAGTGCAGGCTGCTTTTAAAAATAGCTTCTTAGTTCAGTCTTGTGCGCCACGCTTCACGTCATTGTTGAATTTCACATTGGTGCTTAGTGGGAGCAGTCAGGGATCTTGCCGCTGCTATGACTAATGCTCAGGGGAAGAAAGTAGAGCATAGTCTTGATTAAAGTAGTTCTAGCACTACTTAATGTTGCTACCAGTATGTTTTATATGTACTGAGTGCTGTATTTTGTTTATGTTTGTAAATACTTGTTTACTTCTTTCCTCAAAAAAAAAAAATGAGCTAGCATATTCCTTCTGATATCTTGTGGGCACTTCGTCCATGACAGTGGTTCTCAACCTATGGGTGATGACACCTTAGGAGTCCCCTAAGACCATCAGAAAACACAAATATTTACGTTACAATTCATAACACTAGCAAAATTACAGTTATGAAGTAGCAATGAAAGTAATCTTACGGTTGGGGGATCACTACAACATGAGGAACTGTACTGATGGGTAACAGCATTAGGAAGGTGGAGTCTACCACTCTATGAAATGTATAGGTGACCTCAGAGCAATGTGTTCTTACCATAACCTGGAGGCCAGATAGTCCATCACCTCAGGGAAAAAATGTGTCTATTTGCCAGTGAGCCTGCCTTTATTTTTCCCCCAGAAGTCTGGATAAATGCAGTTTGTTTTAAGGCAGGCATATGCAAGTGTTCTTTGAAAGCATGGTAGCCACTCATGTGAATAAAAGACATCACTTGTTTTGGTGCAGGTGCTTCATAATGGAGGACAGAGGTTATCTGGTAGCTCATCCAACCCTCGTTGACCCCAAAGGTCATGCACCTCTGGAGCAGCAACACATCACCCACAAGGTATTTATTGGCCAAGAGGGTCAGCTCCATTCTGCGACAGCCTGGAGTATGTTAAGTGACACTTTTCTTCTGTCTTGTGGCCTTGTCAGGAGCCTCTGGTAGCGAACGATATCCTGAACCATCCCAACTTTGTGAAGAAGAACTTGTGCAACAGCTTCAGTGACCGAACAGTGCAGAGATCTTACAAATTCAACACTAGCCTGGTGGTAAGCCACGTGCAGGTGCCTGCTCCTTCATGGACAGAATAATGCCTGTACCTGTTTCATTGTCTTGGAGGGACAGAACTGTGGGATGAGAGAAGGACTTTAGTAAAACTCTCACTCTGATAATCGTAGGACAAATGGCCAGGATGGGACAGGGACTGTCTGAAGGCACAGGGTTGGTACTCTGGTTTGATTAATACACCAACTGTATTAGTTATGGTTCCCTAGAACAGGGGCTCACAACCTATGTGTTGTGACCCCTTTGGAAACTCAAATGACCTTTCCACATGGGCAGCATATCAGGTATCTTGAATATTGAATATCTTGTGTATATATATATATATATATATATATATATATATATATATATATATATATAGAGACAGAGAGAGAGAGAGAGAGAGAGAGAGAGAGAGAGAGAGAGAGAGAGAGAGAGAGAGAGAGAGAGAGAGAGAGAGAGAGAGAAGACTTATTAGAATGGCTTACAGGCTGTGGTCCAGCTAGTCCAATAATGACTGTCTATCAACAGAAGGTCCAAGAATCCAGTATTTGTTCAATTCCTGAGGCTGCATGGCTCAGCTAGTCATTAGTATTTACTGGAATTCAAAAAAAAAAGTAGTTTCTAATTGCAGTAAAGGAATAGACTTGCTAGAGAGAGAGAGAGAGGTTCTCCTTCCATGTCCTTCATGAAGATATGGCTCAGAGTCAAAGTGGATCTTCCTACCTTAAAAAGACATGAATTAAAAGTGGATCTTCCCTGGATCAGAGATCCAGGTTAGAAGTGGGTCTTCCTATTTCAAATGATTTAATTAAGAAAAAAAAAATCCCTCAGAGGTGTACCTGGGTTTCAATTAATTCCAGATGTAGTCAACTTGATGCATAAGAATATTGATCACGCCAACCACTCCTTATCCCTTCGCAGTCTCAGCTGAGGGCTGTTCCTGTTCTCTGTACGAATGTCTGTTGTTCTGTGTGCTCCTATATCCTAGGTAGGATTTGGCTGCCTGAATCCCAAAGACCAGCTTACATAAGTCCTTGAGCACCCATCATGTTAGATGGGGAGTTTTTTTGGAAATCATCCTGAAAGCATTTTTATGTTTCTTGTTGTGGCTTAGAGTATTCTTCAGAATTTGAATTGCTGATAAATATCTAATATATTCTTAAAAATTTTGTGAATGGTCTTAGCTAAGAAAGAACAAACCTGGGTGAGAGAGGCGTGAGAAGTAACCTTCAAAGCCTCATTCACAGGGAGCAAGTTGTTAATTTACATGGGCAGTTATGTATCTCCATCATTGAATGTACAGGATAGTTTTGGGGGCTAGAGAGAGACGGCTCAACAGTTAAGAGTACTGGCTGCTGCTCTTCCTGGGTTTCATTTCCCAGCACCTACATGGCAGCTCTCAACTGTCTCTAATTCTAGTCCTCAGAGATCTACTGCCACATACAGACATACATGTAGGCAAGACGCCAATACACATAAAATGAAAAAAAAATCAATCTCTGAAAAAATAAAAAAATAATAATTTTAATGTGCTGGATTAACTTGAATATCTTAAACCAAATACTATGAAGTTGATCGTGAAAAGCATGACCCAGCAGAAAGGAGGAGTTTTGAAATACTACATCCATGTCACCCCCTTGGACTTCACTCCATTTTGAGCATCACTGTTGCAATGCTCAGACAGTTTCTATATGAGAGTCTGGTTCTTTCTATGCATCTAGCTCATTTCTACAATGGTCTCTCAGGTCTACGGCAGGCAAAGCCACAAGGATGCAGTAGAAGTACATGTCTAAAAGGCATGTTTTAAGCTGGGCGGTGGTGGCACATGCCTTTAATCCCAGCACTTGGGAGGCAGAGGCAGGTGGATTTCTGAGTTTGAGGCCAGCCTGGTCTACAGAGTGAGTTCCAGGACAGCCCGGGCTACATAGAGAAACCCTGTCTCGAAAAACCAAAAAAAATAAAAAATAAATAAAAGACATGTTTTAGTTGGGTAGAAATTAGAATTTCTTTGTTGTTACTTTTAAGTTGGATCATGTGTGGGTGTACAGCACATGAGTAGAGGTTAGAAGACCACTTGCAGGAGTCAATTCTCTCTTTCCATCATGGTGATCCCCAAGATGTAGCTCACACTGTCAGTCTGGGTGGCAGGTGCCTTCCCTTGCTGAACTATCTTACAGGCCAGAGATAGGTAATATTTTTTTTAAGATATATTGATTTTATTTATATGAGTACACTGTAGTTGTCTTCAGACACACCAGAAGAGGGCATCAGATCCCATTCCAGATGGTTGTGGGCCACCATGTGGTTGCTGGGAATTGAACTCAGGACCTTTCGAAGAGCAGTCAGTGCTCTTGACCACTAAGCCATCTCTCCAGCCCAGTAGATAATTTCTTAACAGCTGAAATTTTCTCCCTAAATGAAATTGGAGCATTCTGGATAGTGAAGCTTATTACATAATAAGCCCATGTCCCTGCACGTCCTAGCAGTGAGTGTCTTCCACACAGGACAAAACTCATCCAGAATCTAAGTACACCCTCTGTGCCACAACCTTCGAATGTGGACTCCCGGTCACATACATTTTAGGAGATGAACGACATGAACTCCGGTGGGAGTTGGAATAGTTTTCCTGGGGCATTTGGTACAAATGCAGAAGGATGGTTATTACATGATGTTATCATACAGCTTTTGAGTTTTTATGGCACTCCTAGAAGCTGCCTGTCACATTTGCTGGCTATAGAATGAAGAAAAAGAAGGCTTAGTTCAGTTTCAATGTTGTAAAAACAAGAAATCAATCATCTCTCAAAGAACCTTTATCTTTTAAATGTTTTTTATTCTAGGAAGCAGAAACATTTGTTAACCAAAGGAAAGAAGTGTGCGGCTTGTAGCTAATTATGTTTCCTTTTGAAACAAATTTGTACACTGACAAAAGCACCTAAAGACCCACGGGTTTTTCTGCCATACAGCTCAAGGGTAGAGTCTATCCTGCTGGAGAAGTCAAGGACATAGAAAGCTATTAAAGTAACTGGTCACACTGCAACCACTATCAGGAATGAGCCAGCATAATTGCATGAACACTTGCTGCTACTCCACTCCCTTTCCCCTTTAACATAGTCCAGGATCTGTCTAGGGAATGCCACTGCCCACAGTGGGTTGGTCTTTCTACCTCAACACAGTCAAGCTAATCTCCCCACACACTAAGTGACAGTCAATACTAACCAACAATGTTATCTTTTTTTCTTATGATTAAACTTGGAGCTGGAGAGATGGCTCAGCAGTTAAGGACCTGGAAGAGTTCAATCCCTAGCACTCACACGGCCACTCACAGCCATATGTAACTCCAGTTCCAGGGGATCCAGTGCCCTCTTCTGCCCTCTGGAGACACATGCATGGTATACAGGCATGCAACCATGCACATAAAATTGAAAAATAAAAACGCATAATAAAATAATAACTATGAAAATTTGTATTTATGTAACTATAGATGAATGATAATGTATACCAACTATTAAATGAAAACTATATCTGACTGATAGAATTTTCTGTAATTTTTTTCTCGCCAAAGTGAAGAAAACAAGTTTTTTAACAAGCAATGTTCCCTTGGCCACATTTTAAATCCTGGCTGTAGGGGCTGGAGAGATGTCTCAGTGGTCTTGCTGCTTTTCCAGAGGACTCAAACTTGATTCCCAGCACCCAGAGATCTCCAATACCCTATTCTAACCTCCAAACACACACACACACACCCCTTTAAAAAGTACTAAAAATGTTGAACAGTGTCCACGTGGTGCTTTAATAATCACAATCTAAACTATTCTGTCTTTTCTGTAAGAAGGCTAAGTTGCCAGGTGGCAGTGGCACGTGCCTTTAATTCTAGCAATTGAGAGGCAGAGGCAGGAAGATCTGAGTTCAGGGCCAGCCTGTGAGACAGGACGAGTTGCAGGACACCCAGGGCTACACAGAGAAACTCTGTCTTAAAAAAAACCAAAGAGGCAGAGGCAAGGCTTTGCACTGATGTCTTTCATCCTTTTCATAGGGGGATTTGACGAACCTTGTGCATGGCAGCCACTGTTCTAAGTACCGCCTGACAAGGATCCCAGGAACCAATGCATTTGTCGGCATCGTCAATGAGACCTGTGACTCTCTAGCCTTCTGCGCTTGCAGCATGGTGGACCGTCTCTGTCTCAACTGCCACCGGTGAGCTGGATTCTGTTCTTGGACTGTTTAATCTGTTACCAATGCCAGGCATTTTGAGCAGATAGGGGTGTGTCTTGGGGAAGAGAAGTCCAGGTTTACAGAAGCCTTTGTATCTGTACTTTTCCCATGACCCAGTCACCATGGTTGCAGGTTCAGGCCAAATGCAATTTAAATCTTTGGCCATGGCTTCATTTTCACCGTTGATTGTAACTTGCAAAGGATTTGTTTTATCTTAATCCCCTGGTGTGTATATGATATTCTGTTGCTACCTACCTCTGACTAGTAATTCTGTTTGCTTCTCAGAATGGAGCAAAATGAATGTGAATGTCCTTGTGAGTGCCCCCTGGAGGTCAATGAGTGCACTGGCAACCTCACCAATGCAGAGAACAGGTAAAAACTGTGTGTGTGTGTGTGTGTGTGCGCGCGCGCCCATGCACACATATAGACACACATATATTATTTCTATTGTACACAAATATAAACAAATTAAGCAACCTATACAAATATAAAAACAGATTTGTCTGACATTATCAAGGACCAAGGTGTTTGGAATATGGGTGCCATTGACTCTAACCTCCAGACTTGCTTCCTACATAGAAATCCGAGCTGTGAAGTTCACCAAGAGCCAGTGATGTACACAGCTATCGACCCTAGCCTGCAAGATGCCCTACACCAGTGTGTCAACAGCAGGTGTAACCAGAGGATGGAAAGTGGGTAAGAGACCTTCCTGAAAGCTGGGTGTGGTGACACAGTCCTTTAACCAAGCACTCTGGAGGCAGAGGCAGAAGAATCTCTGTGAAACCAGCCTGGTCTACAAAGTGAGTTCAACACACAGTCAGGGCTATTATACAGAGAAACCCTGTATCAAGAACCGTCCCCTCCCCCCAACACACACACACACACACACACACACACACACACACACACACACACAGAATGAGAGAGAGACAGAATGACAGTCTTGAGATCAGTGCTCTGCAGCCCTATTGAGCATCTGCAGCCAGAGCTCTGGTCCCCATCCTTCATGCTTTGAGGCTATGTCCTCTGTGGAGAGGAAGGATGGTTCTTACACCATGAGCCCTATGTCTCCCATATGAAATCTTTCATTCCCACTGGTTACAGGGATTTGACTTTTGCTCTAGGCTGAAAAGGGCCTCTGCTGTGTGGTCCTTTTGTTTTAATAAGCAGAGTGCAAGAGATGTTGCAAGGGATTAGGATCTCCTGGGACTCTGAACAGGACCCAGCAGCCATCAAGGTTTTTCCGGGAAGTATTTCAGAACTCATTAGTTTTCCCTTCTTAGAGAGCAGATCTGCACCAGGGCAGTTCTGAGAACTAATGGCCCTGTGTCCGATGCTGCCAGCTGCTCCCCTCTGGGCGTTTTGGACTAGGCATGGGGCAGTGGCTATGGCAGGTCTGGGGCAGGGGGATTACCTCTCTCTGGTCGCTGGTTGCCATGTTAATCAGGCAAAGTGAGGGTACAGAGGGCAAGTCAGCCTGAGGAAAGGGTTCCCCTTGCACTGGTTAACACAGGTTGTCATGCACACTGGTTAACACGTGTTGTCTTGCTATGCTGAGGAGTAGGTAGCACTGCCATGGGGTAATTTCTTAGGAGCATCACCATGCATGCAGCCCAGGAGTTTGGCCATTAGGAAATCTCTTTTAAACAAACTACTCTTTTCCTGAACGTATTTGTCTATTATTTTCTTCCTTTTTCAAAACATCCAACATAATGACCACTCACATGGGCATTTTAGACCAAAACCAGACAACCCTGGGGCCATTTGCCTTTGATCTGCTAAGATGACTTTGAATAAGACCACACTAATTCCCATGTGGAGACTGTGAGGTAATTCAGAGAGTTCTTCATCTTCTCTCGTTGTCAAGTGGTGGAGAGGCATGCAATAGCCACTCCAGGTAAAGGACTGCTCTCCCCACTTGACAGGGAAAGGGACTTGACGGGCAGCTGTTTGGAGCAGGGACCCATGGGGCCCTGAGATCTGGCTAAAGGCCAGCTTACCTGCTCTCCCCCTCATGCTGCTTCCTTAAACATTGTCGTCCTGCCAGGGACTGTTTCGGTGTGCTGGACTGTGAATGGTGTGTGGTGGACAGTGACGGAAAGACTCACCTGGACAAATCCTACTGTGCACCCCAGAAAGAATGCTTCGGGGGAATCGTGGGAGCCAAAAGTCCCTATGTTGATGACATGGGAGCCATCGGTATGTTGATTAGGGGACCCATGGTGATGTGACTCTTGAATGCAATTTTCTCTGCCTGTACCCTGGGACCAAAATCTTAATCATCCTCTGCCCAACTTCCCTGATTCGTTTGCCCAGTCATCCTTAGTTAAAAAATCCAAGGCAAATAATTACCTTCAGAGCTGGCTATACACTCTGTGCGGTGAGCAGCCAACCATGCTGCCAAATTTTGCAAGCCTGGAATTCATTCTCATGAAGCTTATTTTGAGAAACTCTGGCCTGCTTTCCACATGGCTGAACTCTGGAGTCTGCTTGGAAGTGCATCCCAGCTCTCTGGAGTCCACTTGGAAGTGCATCCCTGCTGTCAGAAGCACAGGGTCTGCCTGCCTGCGGTGTGCTATCTCATCCCGGAGCTTTCTCTTTCCCCTTTCTTTTACAAGGTGGAAGTCTTCAGCTACCCGTCAGTGTTTAGGGCAGTGGGGTCTGCAGACGCCAGGGCTACTCAGGCCTGCTATAGCAGCTTAGGGAATGGACGAGGACCCCATAAGAAGAGCCCCTGGGATCAGGCCACCAGTCCTTGAAGATACTACCAAAGAGTCTCATTAGATTTTTTTTTTTTCAGTGTCTTCCCAGAATCGGCAGCATGCCCTTGCTCTCTGCTGGCAAATTTGAGTCACTGTATTTAAGCCACTAGTGAATGTAGATGTTTCTCATCTTGGGACACAGTTGTGACCCCATAAACCTATTATGGATCGAAACAAAAAGGTCAAAATGTTTTTAATACAGGTCAAAATGTCTTTAATACACTCAACCTGCTGAATGTTACATAACTTAACAGAGTGCTGGTTATTTAACCCTTGTGAGCCCATGGCTGATTGTAACTGCCATAGCTTACATCAAGAGAGTATCCTCCTTATTACAAGCCCAGAGAGTTCAAGATTCCAAAGCCTACACTGTTTTTACTGAACGCTTTGTTACTCTTATGTCATCATGAAAGTGACAAGTAAGTCAAATCGTCACAAATTAGGAACCATCTGTGTCTTGCTTTTTTTTAAAAGGTTTATTTATTTATTTTATGTATGTGAGTACACAGTTGGTGTCTTTAGACACACCAGAAGAGGGTATCAGACATCATTACAGATGGTTGTAAGCCATTATGTGGTTGCTAGGAATAGAACTCAGGACCTCTGGAAGAGCAGTCAGTGCTCTTAACCACTGAGCCATCTCTCCAGCCCTGTATCTTGTTTTTTATGTCTGCCCATTTAACCTAACTGAAGGGAGGTTATATTCTCTCCTGTGGGGATGTGGGTTTGAGCTCTTGTGCCCACGTAAGGGCACAGTTCACACATATATACTCCAAAGGGTTATTTTCTGTGCTTACAGGAAGCCACACCTCCGCAACTTGGTCTGTGAACCACAGACTTATGTACTTCATATCTCTTAGTTCATGTGTCCTTCAAAGAAGCCTACCTCGCCTTTTTCTACTAGATGCTATTGCCTCTTGGGGGGTAGCTAGGACTCCATCAGCACCAGGCAATGCATGTGTGTAAGCAGTCCTTTGCAGCAGCCCTTAGTATCTGTGTGTTCTTGCTCTGTGTAGCAACCAACATTTAAGAACCAGGAACGAAATGAAGCCTCCGCTCCCACATTCTCGTGTGTCAGTGAGGAACTTAGAGTGTAGCACAGCTTCCCACCAAACCCTTCTGCTCTGCTCCTTCCCCGACCAACATCCTTGCTCCATGCCCACCTCCCCCTGCACTTGGGAGATGCTGACACAGCACATCTGTTCGTTTACTCTCTGAAGGTGATGAAGTGATCACACTAAACATGATTAAGAGTGCCCCGGTGGGCCCTGTAGCCGGAGGGATCATGGGCTGCATCATGGTGCTGGTCCTTGCTGTGTATGCTTACCGCCACCAGATCCATCGCCGTAGCCACCAGCATATGTCTCCTCTTGCTGCTCAAGGTGAGTGCTGAAATGTTGTTCAGCAGCGATTTATTTAGGCCTCTCAGAAATCGTAAGAGCAGCATCTTAAGTCCCCAAAACCTGCTTTCTAATTTAGTTCCTAAACTCCACATGCCCCATTTTTATTACCCAGAAAATACCAGGCCCTTTCCAGATGCTACCAGCATCCTCATCCCTCACATACTCCATGGCCTACTTAAATTGGGCAACTCAGGTGCTGACAGAGAGTGTGTGTCAGCATGCTGCCCTTGTAGATCTGAACCCAACCATATCAGAGACCCCCAGATCATTATGATCAAGAATATGAATCCATTCTATTGCATACCTGTACAGAGTATGAATGGTCACATTAGAACAATCAGATCTTTCCAAACAGGATAAATCATCAAAGCAAACTACAAAAGAATTGGCCTATAATCGTACCCTTGTTTCCAAAGTCTTGAGTCTGCCATCTGTACTCAAAACCATTCCTACCCTTCCCGAAGTCCCCAGAGATATGTCAGCCCACTCTTTGTGAAAGTAAACTCAACTCACAGTTGTCCTGGCCACTTAGCAAGCGGGACTAGTGACAAGTTTGTGTTAGATGTTGCTCTGATGATGACAGACCCGACATAGCACAGCTACAGAGGTATTCCTGCCTGGCTAGACTCAGGGTGACCCACGTCCAGTGTTGCCATGCACCTAGCTGTATGCAGCTCTGCAGCCTTTCACAGCACAGCCAGTGGTGCTTCAGACCGCACATGTTCCGCTTAAGTACGTAATAGAAGATTAACAGTGAGTCGGCTTCCATTTGTCTCATCTTTCTCCAGAACTCAATTCTAGATGCTCCTCCCTTATTCTCTGGTTCCTCCTTTGTCTCTGCCCTCCTCTGTACCAGACAGGGGTATCAGTTCATTTTCTTGCAAGCTCACTATTTTATTTTATTTTATTTTATATTTTACGAGGGGCTGGGGATAGAACCCAGCACATTTGAGGCCAGCTTTTTTCCATTCTGCTCCATCCCCTGCCCTGAACTCATTTTTGACGGAATGCTGTCACCTAGCCATCAAACCAGCACTCAGTGGGATATTAAAGCCAATGGTTTTGTTTGATTAAATAGTCATGTTTCTCTCTTTCTAATGATGGACAGAAATGTCAGTGCGTATGTCCAACCTGGAGAATGACAGAGATGAAAGGGACGATGACAGTCATGAAGACAGAGGCATCAGTGAGTATCCGCCACCCCCTGCCTCGTGTGTCAGCAGGAGGCTAATCCAAAATAAATATTCTTTCTTATGTCCTTTTGGCTTGTATTAAAATTTCAGAAGCTTTGACATGGTGGATTTTTTTCCTCCCCTTTTCACTAGGAATAAGTGTGGGTCTCTGCTTTGTTTCAGAATATCTCAAACGCCATTTTTGTTTTGTTTTTTTGATGTTATCTTTTACATTTTCTTTGGCCTAAAGCCTCTCCTCCCATGACTTTTCCAACATGCTGTTTTAGAAAGAGAACTTTCTAGAATAATTTCTTTTTAGTCCCCTAATTAGTGTACACATCTCAGAGAAAAGTGCTTTCTTTATTAAAAGAGACTTCTGTTGATGTTGAAATCCCTTGGCCTTTAGCTGCCTAGACCTTGGCCTGCTGGTGCACACTGGAGATAAGAAGCTAAGTGCCTCTTCCTGCATCAGCCCAAAGCCAGCTCCCCTCATCCTCAGGATTCTTTAAAAAATTATTTATTCTAACTCCTGAAAGAATAACTCCTCTAACACATGAGTGGGCATGCTCAGAGCAAGGGGGGTGAAAAATAAGGTACAGACACAGAAATCTCATTATTGTCTGTGACGTCCCACAGTCAGCAACACTCGGTTCATAGCTGCAGTCATGGAGCGACATGCACACAGTCCGGAGAGGAGGCGACGCTATTGGGGCCGCTCAGGAACCGAAAGTGATCATGGTAAGGTCTGGTCTCCGGCATTAGACGCCCTCGGGAGCCTGGGCTGTGCTGTGGGAGGTGGGCACAGACCTTCTTTCCATTTCTCCTGTTCTGTATTTAAGCAAATTATTTTGACACAGTTTCCCCCAAAGGATGCACCCAAGCATGGCATGGTTTGAGAAAAGTGTCTGGGCAGCTTTCTTCTGTCTCAGTACTTCCAGACACAAGCTAAAAGGCCTTGACCACACAGATTGCTTTCAAGTTTTTCTCCATCAAGAAGGTGGGGGCTGGTGGGATGGCTCAGTAGGTAGAGATGCTTGCAGGCAAGCCTGATGATCCAAGTTCTATCCATGGGACCCACATGATGGAAGCAAAGAGCTGATTCCTGCAAGTTATCTCTGACTACCACACACCACAGTGCATGGGCACACACACAAATAAATAAGTGTAATTTTTTTTTTCTGTGTAACCTTGGCTGTCCTAGAATTCACTCTGTAGACCAAGTTGGCCTTGAACTCATCCAGACATACCTGCCTCTGCCCTCCTAGTGCTAGAATTAAAGGTGTGTGCCACCACCACCTAGTAATAAGTGTAATTTTTAAAAGTGTGTTTTTGACACTTTTTTCATAGCTGTAACCAAATACAGGGCAAAAACAACTTCAGGGAAGAATTATTCCTTTGGCTTATGGTTTAAGAGGTTCAGTTTGGTTGCTAAGCAACCAGATCACCTAGGCTCGTATCTTGAGTAAAACATCATAGTGTCAGGGGCAGTGGCAGAAGACAGCTATGACCATCATGGCTGGGGTGGATGGAGTCGGGGAGCACACACCAGAAAATAGTCAGGGTGTAATATAAATCAGGAGTATTCACCAATGACCTACTTCCTTCATTCAGGTCTCATTTCCCAGAGTTTCCAGAACTTTCCAAAATAGTGTTAGTGTTAGTGTGTGTGTGTGTACATGCATGCACACAAAACATGAGGCTATGGGAAACACCTCAAAATCATACTGTCACTAAAGGTTCATACTTTTGATGTAGAGCCCCCTTAGGACCTCCTGTTGCTGGTGGACCAGTGTCAGTGTCATGAACATATCAGCATCAGCATCATATTCTTGGGTCACAGACAATCTAGGCTGCCCACCAGCATTGTCCACCCTATCCGTGACCATGACTTCCAGGCTCAAAGGCTTTAATGAAGAACCATTTGCACTGAACCTGGACAAAGTTTCAGGTTTATATTAATTGCAGAAGTCAAGTGCCAAGCAAACCCATGTCTTAGGAAGTCCCATGTCCTGTCCCAAAGATCAGCCACAGCACAGGGCCTCTCAGGTTCTTGGTGTCTTGTTGCTTATTGTCTCGGGAACAGCAGGTGTGTCAGGTCTGTCAGCCACACTGCCACTGTCCACCAAAAACAGAACCCAAGTGAAAGACTGCTTTATTGTTAACGCTGTCTTTAATATGGTTAGATAATTACTTAAATCTTTTTTTTTAAATCTTGGCTTTTCCCACACCTATCCTGAAAAGGTAAGGGGAAAAAAAAGCCTTCACTGTGTCTCTATTTGAGCACAGGAGATGACATCCCTCTAAGCAACCAATAGCCCCCTGACACCACCTCAAGGATGCAATCTCCCTTTGGAAGATGTGAGATGCTGCAGCCCAGACTGGTAAATCGGGGACTGTGTATTGAGCTTCGAATGACATTTTTTCCACTGACTAAATAGAACCTTCGGGTTTCTATGGAGAACTGAGGCAGAACTTAAATTTTCCAGTTTCTTGGCTTCCTGCCTCCCCCATCCCCCACCCCTGCAAAGGAATCCTTTGAACTTATGTAAGTTCTTCTGCTAGGTCATTCTGTGCCTTCTCTTTTGAATACTAAAGCAGGTTCGAGGCTACTAAAGTTCAGCAGAAATAATTTCTTATTCAGCAGATACACCAACTCAAAGCTCTCCCTCTCCCATGGCATCCATACCAAATTAGGATCTGGAGTAACAATGTGTTCCCAGCTCCTTCCACTGCCACAGTGATACAGCTTGAAACAGCAGCTTAGTGAACCGTGCAGCATGAGTACCTGAGCCAGTAAGGCAGCGAAGGGCTGGCTCATGGTCTCTCTTCTCTCGCTAATTGGATCTCTGTTATTCCCAAGGAATAAAAAAAATACTTTCTCATGCAGACAGAATGCACCGCCAAAGGAAATGGCAAGTGTTGATGGTGCCCAGATCCAAAATACATCATTAAATCAGTGGCGCTTAACTGTAGGCTGTTGTATCCCTAAACCTGTTCAGCATGTCACTAAAAATGACCTTTCAAGTGGATGGCCCTGTCTCTCCAGCAGGATAATGTCTACATACGCATTAAGAGAGAAAATAGAATTGATTGTTTTGTCAACATGGTTCTGAGTGGCGGTCCCCTGTGTCATGCCTGTACTAGACATGTCCTGTGCACTGGGCAATGTGGGGTTGGAGGAACACCCTCAAGGCAAGGATGAGTTCACTTCAGAGTCCATCACCTCTTGTTTTTATAGCAAGCTGTCTAGACTCTAGTGAGCTGTTTTAGTCCTTAGTTTCCTGATTCTTGGAAGCAGAATGGCCAGCTGTGGTAGCACACGCATCTAATCCCACCACTCTAGATGCAGAGACAGGCAAATCCTGTGATGTGGAGGCTAACCTGATTTACCCAGCAAGTTCCGTGCCAGACAGCACAACATAGTGATGCTCTGCCTCAGAAATAAATACATAAATAACAGGATTAAAATGTCTACCTGGTAAAGTTCTTAGGAAGATTAAAGGGGATAGCATGGTAGGAGCTTGGGGCTCAGGCTTACACCTGTGCTTTCTCCTCCCTGCTTATACTCTAGGGGAACCCAGAAATGAAGGTGTGTGTTCATCGACCCATAAATGGTGGAATGAGATAGATTCCTGGAGTGAACAAAGGAGACAGGGAAAGTAGTTCAGGATCCAAGGAAGGGCTGGAGCTCAGGAGAGAGCAGTGCCAGGGTTCTGTGTTGTGCTGTGCATGCGTGCGTGCATGTGTGCGCGAGTTGTGTGCATATGTATGTGTGTGCACATGTGCACGCACACACGTATGCTAGAATGCTAAAGGCCCAGGCTCCTGGGAAGCTGCATAGTGACAATGTTCCTAGAATTAAAATTTGCTGTTGCTTGGAAACTTAAGGTGCTTATTTATTTAGAAATAGTTCATGAGGACACATTTTAAAATATAAGGCTTTTTCCTTTGGTACTGGGAATCAGAACTAGGATCTAGTACATGCTCGGCAAATACTCTTGTGTTGCGGATACCCCAACCATACTTTCATCAATATTCTAAGACAACTTCAAGTGTTTGTTCTTTTCAGCAGCATATGAGCCTTTCAAGTTGTGCTACTTACAGAACAACGTTGTAACTGTGCATCTGCTTTGTCTCATGTTTCCCTTGAAGTCAGCATGTTCTGTCTGATATCTACTGGCTTATTTTTAAGTTTAAAAATGCCAGCCGGCACATGTTCATTTGCTCCTTGTAAGTTCATATTGCTGCTACTTCCTCATTAGAAATTTTATAACTGGGTTTAGACAGATATTTTTCCGTGTGTGCGTGTGTGTGTGTGTGTTAAGTAACCTTATCTTTTTGAAAATGGGATTTCTCCCTCATCCTTGGCAGTTTCCAAGTAACTTTTTTTTTTTTTTTTTTTTTTTTTAAGACAAATGATGAAAGGAAACCTAGTCAGGAGCAGACCGTATTCTGGAGCTCCCTCCTGAAGTTACTCTCTGTGGCCACTAGATGGCGAGTGAGTCCCTGATGGAACCTAGCGTTCTCACAAGTAACAGTGTCTCGGGAAGTGGAACATAAACACATAAGCAAAATGCCAAACTACAGAAGCCAAATTTGGGCTTCTATTCCTCATGGGTGCCTGGCCTCATTCCTAAAGCGAGAGTCTTACTTGAGGCTATCTCTGTAGATGCTTTTCTACATGTGCCTTTGTAATCGATGCCAGGGATCCTTTGTGTTTAAATAGCATTTTTCCCATGATCCATGGTCAAGTCTGTCCTTGTGACCCCACAACTGTTCTCAGTGCACAGCACAAACTGCCTGGCACCAAGTAAATGGTTATTTGTTGGATGAGAAAATGTGTCTGTAGGCTGGGGAGAAGGCTCCACAGTTTGCAAAGAGCTTGCTCCACAGGCGTGAGGCCCTGAGTTTCCACAGAACCCACACAAAGCCAGGCACAATAGCCCCATCTATAACCCCAGAGCTTCCATCGTGCAATGAGAGGTGGAGATGGGAGAATCTCCGGGAGCTTGTGGGAGGGCTAGACTGATGTATACAGCAGACCCTGCCTCTAACAAAGTAGGAAGTAAGGACCAACACTCAACTGCCCTTTGACCTCCACACATGCACGCCCATGCTCACACGACTACCACCTACACCCACAAAAACAGACTTAAAGAGAAAGGAAAAAACAAGCATTGTTTCACCTGCTGCTCTACCACTTGCTGTGCCCCAGGGATTTCCATTCATGTAATTAAATACTAGGAAAGTGTGGAGTGAACGAATCGTGCTTCTCATTGCTTGCAGATACTGAGAGAAACCATTTCAGAAAAAGAAACTATTTTTGGCTCACAGTTTCATAGGTCTCAATCTGTGCTTGGGCAGCTATGCTATTTCTGGGCCACGGCCAGGACAACACTGGTGGCTAAGGACATGGTGGAGTGAGGTACGTCTTCCCAGGGCGAGCCTCCCGGCATATACTTCCTGTAGATCCCCACCATCGACTTCCCACCACCTCCCACTAATGCCACATGGCTTGAATCTATCAAAGCATCAGTCCACTGATGAAGTTGGAGCCATCTTGATTGAGCCCCTTCCCAAAGCACAATAAACATCCAAGCCCCCAACACGCAAGCCTCTGGGGGACGTCTCAGATCCAGACACAGTGAGGCAAATAATTACAGAATGTCTCTGGACTAAAAACCGTTGAGTAGGGAAAAAACTGGATTTCCAAATCTTACTAATTATATAAGACTAGTATTTGGCATGCCAGGCAAAGCTACAGGGAACAGAAGACACATTGATGTCATTACCTAGGGAATTATAGTATGCAGGGGCTTCCTTGTTTTTAGAGTTTTGGGGACTGGTCCTAAAGCCTCTTACATGCCAGGCAAGTGGTTTTCCACTGAGATATCTCCCTAGCCCTTTTTACTTTATTTTGAGACAGAATCTAAATTGCTCAGGTTGGTCTTGAAGTTGCTCTGTAGCCCAGGCCAGCCTTGAACCTGTATCTTCCTGCCTCAGTTTCTAAGACGCTGCATTTACAGATCTGTACCTGCGGACATGGCTGGTTTTGCTGTGAAATGTCTCCTTTGTGTGAGCCACTGTGTTCAATGCTGGGAGTTCAGAGGCAGCAAATAAGAAAGAATTGGCTAGCCAGGCAAGGCAGTGAACATCTCTAACCTCAGCAAGCGAATCACAGCAGGATGATTTTGGGCTACTTAGTGAGTTCCAGGCTGGCCTGGGCTATGTAGCAAGACCATATCTCCAAAAATAAGAATAAGAAACCAAAAGAGTGGGCAATCTGTCAACAAAGAACCTGTTTTTAGTATGATACGGCAATCACAGAATGCCATGTAGAACGACAAAGGGACACCAAACCCAGGTGGCTCACAAGACCAGAGACAGGTCAGGGTGTGAGCATGGAAGACTTACCCAAGAAGACCCAAGGCACAGTGAAGCATGAATCATAGCAGTGGGATCTGAGAAGGTGGGAACTTACACCAGGTATGCTAAATAAATGATCAGTCCCTTACTGTGGCACTTAGACAGGACCAGAGATGAGACCCACATGGGTGGCATCCAAGAGAACAGCTTAAATGCTTTGCTTATTGCCATCCTCCTTGGTATGCAAAGGACAGTGCAGTTCAGACATACTGCTAGCAGCTTTCAGAGTCTGGCCTCCCATCTCACAATGTAGTCTTAGCCCTGCCCAAGAGAGCAAACCGAGAAACTTAGTAAACTATCGCTTAAACATGGATAAAGGTGTCACTTTTCCTCGACCTCTGAATCTAGAAACCTGGATCACCCACAGGGATGTCAAGCCCTCTAACCCCTTTACGTGGCAGATCCATTTGGTCCCCAAGCTCTCTGCTTCTTCCCAGGAACCTCTTGATGTTAGGTGCTTCTCCATCTTTAAGTACTGTTACTATCTGCCATCAACCTGAGGTCTGGCACGCAGCCTCCAATTCTGAGCACCTGGCTTCTGTTCAGGTTGTATTGACACTTACCCACCCTCAGTACCTGCCACTAAGTGCTGGTGGTTTCAACCGGCGTTTTCACCCTGGACTCAGCCTCCCTCCCAGCAGCCTTGCCTGCTTTCCCCATGCCAAGCTTTTCAGCATTTCACCAAGGTAGCCAACCCTTTTTAGGGCAGTGGTCCTCAACCTTCCTAAGGCTGCAACCCTTTAATACAGTTCCTCATGCTGTGGTGACCCCCACATAAGGAAATTATTCCATTGCTACTTCATAACTGTAATTTTGCGACTGTTGTGAATCATAATATAAATATCTGATAGATGACCCCCCCTCAATGATCCCCTAAATGGTGATGACACACAGGTTGAGAACCACTGCTTTAGGGCTGGTGATCAGAGCTCTTCTGTATGATTCTGCTCTGCTAGTACCTGTGGGCACTTTGACTGGTGGCTTCTGGGGCCTTTCCTCCTGCTTTGCTCCTGACAGCCTCTCCTGGCACCTGCATCAAGGTCCACTGGGTGATAAGACTGACAGCAGCAAATTCTGCTCCCCTTCCCCAACTTTGCTGAAGCCATGCCTGTTTCTCATCAGTATCGTGTGTGTGTGTGTGTGTGTGTGTGTGTGTGTGTGTGTGTGTGTACACCAGGCTCTCAGAATGAAGACGGTCCCAAACAAGTCATGCTTTGGTGAGACTCAGGGCCTCCATGTCTCCTCTGCCATCATCCTGACTTAAGTTATAGCCAATTGCCTTACCATTTAACCACTCATACCTGGTTGCCTAGCAACCTCTATAATTGACCCTGTCCCACTTTCTCTCATTCTTCAGTGGGCTGCACATTGACTTCCTATGTCTCTTCCTTGCTCTTTCATCCATCCTTCAAAGGGCCAGTAGGTCTCTCTGACCACAGATTGCTCATAGCTAGCTGTTTATAGGGAGAGTGTGTACCTATTGTCTATATTAACATATATATCATGCTCTGTCCTTAATTTACCTCTTCACCTCTCACTTCCCTGCTATCCGGCTACCTGCTAACACATATCCAAGGTGTGTAGTAGAGGGATCACTTCATAGCTCCATGCTTCTGGGGCTGGCCTCCTGTCTTTTTGCTTGTATTGACTTTACCAAAGTCTTACTTACCCACTTAAAGTGGGGTGACCCCTCCTCATTCCTTAAGTCAAGAAAAGTTAGTTTGCCTTGCTTTCAGCTGAATCTCAGCACTATCGTTCACCATGGTCTGCATTAGAGAAAGCCTCTCCCCTACTCAATTTGAGTCATTAAGGAAGGAAGATAAGGCTATTTTACTTGTCACCCCCTACCCTAATGTGGCCCATGGTGAAAGAGTGAGCCAGCAGCCTGTGCTCTTGCTTGTCTCAAATACAGGTGGCTTATCTCCCTCTGTAGGACCAGGTTTTTGTCTGGGAAGTACCTCCAGTACCTTAGTAGAGAGACTTGTACCTAAGAGATGCCCAGTAAATATCCTCTGCATTGGACTGTTAAATAATTCTTCCAGTTGAGTTATGTTTTATTGAGGACCTAGATTTGCCTTTATTACTTTTGCATAGAGTAGGCATTTTTAACCACACAGTGCTGCTGCTTGGCTCAATGCAAGCACATCAATTTTGCAGTCACAAATCTGACTAGTCTCTACCCATGGGTGAGGGCTGATTGACACTGAGGTGCCAGGAAACTATTAATGAGCTGTCACTTCTCAAAACATTTAGAAGAGTTTTTTTTTGCAATATTTAAAAACATGCCAAGGTTCTTGGAAAGGAATCCTTTGATCAACTAAGGTATTTTCTTTTGAAACATGTATTACTTAGAATACTGAAAGAAATGAATCTTTAAACATAGTGAGCCAGCTTACACAGAGAATAGCTGATTCCTTTCTAGTTGCTCTGGGTTGGATGGGAATTTGATGTTTCATTAAGCGCTAGAACCTTGGATGAGTTTCTTCTGTTCTCTGGCCACTTCCCTTCTACAGTGGGCATTGAGAGCCTAGCTGCTCTGCTGGAATCACTGACCTGTGTTTTGCTGGAGGCGTGTGTGCTAGTGATAATGAGGGGGACCCGAGCTGATATCACATGGTGCTGACTGGTGGAACCCTCACTAATGTCACATGGTGCTGACTGGTGGGACCCTCACTAATGTCACATGGTGCTGACTGGTGGGACCCTCACTGATACCTCCTGGTCACAGTGGATCGGACCCTCACTGCCATCCCACAAGCATTCCAGCACTCAGCTCTTGTGCACCAGCCCCAGCCAGCCTGTATCCTGATCACACTGTCTGAAGCTGCCCATTACCTCCCTGCTTTAATAGTTTATATGATACAGGAGAAAATGATCATCTTACTCTCTAGAAGCATAGGATCACGGCTCCAAGAGTGCCAGGATGGGTACCTGCAGATAATGGGGTGATTTCACAGTGGAGCTCTGGGAGTTTGGAGTAATGACTGTTGTTTTTCCCCAGCTTTCTTCGTTTAATATGGTTGTGTGTTTATGCTTAATTGTTTTTAGGAAAAAAAAAAAAACCCTGTTATCTGTAGCTCTCCTTACCATTAAAATACTAAAACATCTGCTGGTGATGTGCAGATGTTGGCACCTAAGTGTCACTAGCACAGGGCTGCACCCCCATCTTAGCCAGTCTGCTCTGTGTCCTGAGGCTATGTTGTTCCTTTTCTAGGGTACAGCACCATGAGCCCACAGGAAGACAGTGAGAACCCTCCATGCAACAATGACCCTTTGTCAGCTGGGGTGGACGTGGGGAACCACGATGATGACTTGGACCTGGACACCCCGCCTCAGACTGCAGCCCTGCTGAGCCACAAGTTCCATCACTACCGCCCACACCACCCGACCCTCCATCACAGCCACCACATGCAGGCGGCCGTGACAGTGCACACCGTGGATGCTGAGTGCTAACAGCCCTCTCATCTCCCCGAGCAGAGGGGCCCTGGGTGACAAGAATGCTCTGAGAAGAGATGAGCCTGCAGACAGCCCTGTCACATGACATGCTTTGTCCAGCGTGGTTCCGCTGGTTTGCTGCCTGCTGGTGCGTTTAAAAACTGAAACCACCAAGTCCTGTCTGTGGGGAACTGATGCTGGTTCTGTCATGGAGGGGGAGCCTGATGCACTGACTGACCTGCCATAATGGAATGGAACAGTAGGCACACCTCCAATACAGACACATGTAAAGGGAACTGAGCCAGAGGAATGCTCCCAGCACCAGATGCACTCAGCCCCTTAACTGGAAGAAAGCTGGAGCAGAGGCCAGGGACGTGGCACACCAGATGCCACCAGCCGCTGGATGGACTCCCGTGTTTCCTAGCGGTATCTGGATACCACCATAACTGTACGGAGCTCACCTTATGCTCTGAACGATGCATCTCAAAATTTCTAAGTAAAGGATTATTTTTCTACTATTTATTGAACTTTCAAACTTTGTGGGGGGGGAGGAAACGAGAGCTTCTCGGCCGTAACCCTGGCTGTTGTGTGTGATGATGTGGTTCTCTGATTAAGGAGTTGTGTTTCTTATTTAACTGGTGATCTGCCCACTGCCCTCATCCACAAAAAAAGGGGGGGGGGATGAAGAAATCTTCCTCTGGCTTGTTTACATCACTTCCTGGAAAAACATCCTATTCGATAGTGTTCCCTCTTTGGAGGGGCAGTGATCCAAGATGTTTTCAAAGAAACTCATTCCGTTAGAATTCATTTCCACCTCCCATGCAATAGTTTTCCTTAGGTTTCTACGAAATCTAGTATTATAACCGTAGCCTTCCAGTTTAGGGAGGCTTGGATTTATTCTCTTTGTTTTAAAGACTATAAATTTTAAAATGTCTCCTTTTTTACTCTAAGAATATTAAACAGGTAAAGGGAGACATTTTAAAATTGTGAAATTGTGGTTCTTAAAAGATTTCTTTTGAAATCACAGCTCAAAGCTGCTGCCACGTATCCACCAAACTGCTTTTGACTTCCACGGGGATTCATCAAATGGCTACTCAGACGTGGGGCATTGGGGTTTTAAAGTAGTGTTCTAATTACAGTGGTGTATTTTAGATTCACACTTCGTGATTCAAATATGTTGTGAAGATGTTCTTTGCACCATGTGTGTGGTAGATCTCCGTTTATATATAGTTGGGAAAAAAATCACTGAATAATGTTTTAATGATAGGGTATCATGATATACTGTAAAAAATAAAATTGGGTACTCAGCACTACAGAAAGTAAACTATATATGTGCTCCCTGGAAAGCCCTTCATATTGTGTATAAAGTTGCAGTCTTGTGAAATAAACTGTATGCAATGGACAGTCGAGGGGCTGCCGTTATCTGACCTGCCGTTTCTCAGCCTGTGGCCTAGACATCCTTCCAGTGCTCCAAACAACTTCAGGCCTCTTGACCATCTCACACAAAGAAATGCAAAGATATTGATAGGCTAAAAGAAAAAGTAAACACTTAAAAGTAAGTAAAACTACCCTGTATGGTAGTTTAGGCTTTACAAGCTTAGCTCAGCAGGAGGATCCAAAGTTTGAGGGTAGCCTGGTGAGACCTTGTCTCAAAACTACTAAATAAAAACATAGATACCTCCCTCTTCTAAATCCATGTCCTTAGTGTAAGATGGTCAACTCTATCTTGTCAAGATTGCATAGGTTTCCTGTCTTCCCTGAAAAGGGCCCTTCTTCATGGGAGTCTAGGTTTTCCTGTTGTAGAGACTCTCTTGTTAAGAACCCCACTTCTCCGGGCTGGAGAGATGGCTCCGTGCTTTTAAAGCACTTTCTCCTTTTCTAGAGGGCCCAAAGTCAGTCCCCACCTCACATGTTATATAGCTTATAACCACCAGGCCAAGAGGTTCTAACATCCCAGTACCTGCATACAAATAGCCTATGCTCACACCAAACATAATAAAAATATAAAAGAAGTCATTTTAAAAAAAAACCAGCTGTTTGAGGAGGGAGAAAGAATACGAAGATGGTGTCTCCAAGAAAGATGTTATAAGAGTGTCATGGGGTGGGGGTGGAGGGCATTGAGAGGAGCCAGACATCTACTCTCACCCCCTCTCCATTCTCAGAGTTCCATTCCACCAAAGTTTACCAACTACTAGTTTAGGGTTAGTTACAGTACATGAGAGAGAGGTCACAGGGAGGAGCATGGGGAGGTCTCCACCCACCATGCATGAAGGCCTGCTGGTTAGGTAGATGGAGGCTTCCTCCTTCAGTCCTCCCTAGCCTAGGTACTCTAGGCCCTCCCAAGAATCTCAGACCATGTCCAATTAGGCAGAATTGTATACAGCTACTGAAAGAGTGGGTGGTTACTCAAATGAAGGTCTTGTCACCCCTTTTTCGATTAGAAGAGGTCAACAGTCAGCAAGCCCAGCTGAAATGACCTTTTACAAGCAGACCCAGGTGAACTCCAGAAGATGGCTCAGAGGCTAGACATGTGCAACAGGTGCATAAAGCTGAGGTCAAAACAGAATCAGTATAGTCTACTCACAACAGCCAGCCTGGCATGCTGGCATACATTTAGAGTCCTAGCCACTGGGAGACCCGGGAGGAACGTGAGTTCAAGGCCAGCCTAGGCCATGTAAGATGTAAGACTGTCTTTAAAATTTTTTTACTCTGGGCAGTGGTGGCGCACGACTTTGATCCCAGCACTTGGGAGGCAGAGGCAGGTGGATTTCTGAGTTCAAGGCCAGCCTGGTCTACAGAGTGAGTTACAGGACAGCCAGGACTACACAGAGAAACTCTGTCTCAAAAAAACCAAAAAAAAAGAAAAAAGAAAAGAAAAGAAAAGAAAAGAAAAGAAAAGAAAAGAAAGAAGAAGAAGAAGAAGAAGAAGAAGAAGAAGAAGAAGAAGAAGAAGGAAGAAGAAGAAAATTTTTACAAGACTTTAATAAAAATTATTTTGCATTTTTTGCAGTAAGACTGCCCTTGGGTCAAGGGTAGAAGTAATTGAATGTTTATAATCTGAATAAGAGACCATTTGGGATCTTGAGTGGTGGTGTTTCTTTTTTGTGTTTGTTTGATTGATTGATTGATTGATTGATTGAATGATTGACTGATTTAGATTTTATTTTATTTTATATATAAGTGTTTTAATCACACGTATGCCTGGAACCCACAGGGGCCAGGAGAGGACATTAGATCACCTGGGACTGGAGTGATGGATGGTGGTGCTGGGAATTGAACCCAGGTCTTCTGCCAGTGCAAGTGTTCTTGACCACTGAACTATCTCTCCAGGCCCTGTGTCTGAGTTTTATAGGTCCTGTAGAGACTAATCCTTAAGCATTACATGTGACATTGTTCAGCTTATATGTGTGGTGGTGGTGAGTGGTGTTCACATTGTTTAGAAAGAAAAGCAAAATATATATATAT